GCTCGCATTAGCCGCGCGTTTGCAAGCTTTTCGTGGTTTCAAACGTTCAAACATGTGATTTGATGTTGCTCTCATGCAATAGGGTGGTTGTCAAGGTCACCTGAAGGTCAGGTCAGGTCATTGACCTTTGGTGACCTCGGTTCACTTGCTCGAGTTTTACATGTTTCTAGGTTAGTTTTTGGAGCTGAATTCGAATTTAGCAACCATTTGAACATTTACGAAGTAGTTTTGGTGCCTTCATAATATGTTACGAAGCTGTCAGAGGCGGATGACAGGTACTACTAATACCCGTCACGACCCCTACCGGTTGACCTGACCTGACCTGACCCAACCTAGTCTAAATAGAGCCTCGCGGAAAAAACAAGCGTGTGCGCCGTTTCAAGACGGAACGATTGATACCCGATTTTAAGGTCCCAGGTCAACCGGTAACCTCTGAGGTGAAGTCAAAAAGCCCAAGGTAGGGTTTGGTTTTTGGTAAATAATTTCGCAAAAAAATGGTCGCAGAGCAGCGATTTTGGCACCATCGTGTTCGCCTGGCTCAGGCGCGTCGAATGGTATATTTTTTGTCCGGGTGAGGTCAACTTAAGGTGTTGACCTCGAGTCAAGGTCAGGTCAGAGCCCATCAGGCCACGAACTTAATCGAAGGAAGTCGTATAGCATAGCATTCGATTCGGGAGGTCTTTCCGAGTCCATTGGTGGCTTTCCCGAGTCGCTGGCTCAATTTGATCATGAGTTATTGACGAGAAACTCCTATGACCGTAGTGACGTCATAAATGACGTCACAGAAGGTCAAAAATGCAAAAGTAAAGCATCGGATCTTGCAAGGAGTGCATGAAATCACGATTCCGTGTGCTTGAGACAGTTTGAGATCATTCCATGTGCAAAAACAACAGTTTCCTTATTTCCCCATTTACTTTTAATGGTGAGGTCACGCGACCTCGAAGAGTAGCAGGCATTAGCAAAAATTGCGAGTAGGGCATGACAGAAAGATAATTAGTGGTTTGTATGGCATGGTCATTTTTAGCGGCTCGAATAACATTTCTCAAGAAGTCTAACTAAAGAGCAAGTTGTTGTTGATTATCACTGACTTGTGTTTGGGGGTTAATAATAACTGAATTTTTTAGTTTGGCCCAAAATTTTGACAGCATTGTGTGCGTTGATCAATTCTGAGCTCAGGGACATATATTTTATTCAGATTATACGCGTTTGTTTTTCACAACTTCCAGCGCTTTAAAGAGCGCCGGGCCTTCAGTAGAGCGGCGAGGTGACAATTGCCCCTACATCATGTGGTTTACTGGCGCATATCTCGAAAAGTAGCAGGGAAAAGCAGCAAAGCACCTATATGGAACGAAAGATGAGCAATCAGAGGCTAGTATAAAATGTTCATTTTTAGCCGCTCAAAATCACATTTTTATAAAAGTCTAATTAAAAAATTAGATATGATTTTTATTTACGTCTTGCAGCTGCTTGCAAAACACTAGCTTATCTTGCAGAAAAGCGATGCAATATGTAAGAATGATGTTGGCACAGTGAACAGCAGTGCCTTGAACTAGTCTGACAGGAAATTTCGTTCAAAACGACGATTGGTCAGCTAATAAATTACTACTAAAGATCATCATGAAAATCGGTAAATGTGGTGGCCACTAGAGAGTCTAAATTGTCTTGTGTTTGGTGACAACTGACGACCTCAATTTTGACCTTAGGGAAAAACTGGCATCGGAATAGTATTCTTCGATCAATTTGGGATTAAATGATACCTATGAAAAAAACCATAAACAACAATTTCAATACCTAAATATACAATTCATAAGCATAGGTGACGTCTTACGACAGCTCAGTGAGTAGTCGTATCTTCCCAATACCTTCATCATTAAGGTCTTACGATCATCTTAAGATTCGACTTAAGATGTCCCGACGTGAATCGCACTTACGATCGATCGTACGACAAATGTCTACGACCAAAATTTTGATCGTAAGATAAATCTTAACTGTTTGCGATACCAACGTGAATACCAAATTATCGTACGACAAAGAGCGATCGTAAGATAAATCTTACGAAAAATTCCGACGTGAATACGGGCCCAGGATTAAGAACTCTGCGAATTTCGGCCACTTAATTTTGGTGGTGCCCTATTTTCAGTTTTTGTTTGCTCTTTATAATCTTTTATTTTTGGTCAGTGTCTTTGCCCTTGGGCCTTGGCAGGCCTGAGGTGCCCCTGACAAGCCCATGGTGCCCCTGACAGGCCTGTGGTGCCCCTGGCAGACCTGTGGTGCTCTTGCTAGGCCGATGGTGCTCCTGACAGGTCTGTGTTGTCACTGACAAGCCTGTGGTGCCCCTGCTAGGCCTGTGGTGCCCCTGGCGGGCCTGTGGTGCTCTGTCAGGCCTGTGGTAACTCTGATAGGCCGGTGGTGCCCCTGGCAGGTCTGTGGTGCCCCTGGCAGGCCTGTGGTGCTCCCGAGCCCCAAGGACGGGGGGTCACGTCAGACTCATGACCCATGTGACCCCCCCCCCCCTTAGATCCGCCACTGCGTTATTTATCCCATGAAATGTGCGACACATCGAAAGTATAGAAGCACAAAACATCTTCAAAAAGGATTCGTTGTGCCATAGCATAAGAGGCGAACTCTAAGGGCTCGATGGCGAACTTTCGCCAAAGTTCCGTTCCAAAGTCCCACAGTTCCGCCAAGAGGCTCCGAAGGGCCCGATATGTCCGTCAAGACAGCCTCATGCTCAGAATAGTTTTGAATCGACTTGAACCTCGTACATCACGGAGCTCTTTTGGTTTAGAATATGTGGCCGAAATTGTTTAGCGGCACTCCTTACGTTTGACCTACAGAAGTCGATAAAGGTCACGACTTTAAATTTGCACAGCAGATTGTGACCCATCCATTGGAGCGGGAGTCCCGAAAACGGCACCTAATGACTCACCATGGCCTGAAGCTATTTCACCATTAAGACTATCTTAAAAGGGGCTAAAGTGCGTCAATTTTAACCATTTTATGCTGCCCAGGTCAAACGAGGTCGCATATTCCGAGTGACCCTTGGGGATACCTAAATTTAACGGTGAAAGTAGGTACTTGCAGGTAACGGACAGTCGCTTGATGCCATTTTCAGTGCTCTATCTTCACTGGGGGTAGGCACTGGGCCACAATCTGCTGTGCAAATTTTGGGACCGTGACCTTCTCTGACCCGTCCAGGTCAGACGGCCTGAATACGGAATGAGCAACGAAAATGGGTTTGAGCCTAAACATAGATTGGAGAGCTAAATATATGAGATTGGATGATCTAACGACCGACGGGAATCTCTCGGGGGGGGGGGGGGGGGGTTGAACCACCCGGCCCGGTGCGGGCGGGGTAACGGACAATACCTGAAGCGTCGGCGTCGACGGCGGCTATCCCTCCTGCTACTCCAGCACCCTGGCCCGACGGCAGGGCGGCAGCGGCGCGCGGTGACGCCCCACCCCAGCCACACAGTCCTCGAGCCGTCACCACACTAACGGTGCTGCCACCACGCGGCTGGCCGGCTGGCTCGTCCGGCGCTGGCACCGCTCCAAACGCCATCTCTTGGGCCGGCTCCAAAACACCACCCCCACCCGGAGAAGACCGGCCGGCCGGCCACCTCACCGCCATCTAACGGCCGCTGGAGGTACTGTTAGGTCGCTGTCAGTTGCAGAGGAGAAGGATCGTCGCTATTGGGCGGCGGGCAATGCATCCTGATAAATATGTGGTGATTCACACTTCACAGTCGTGTTAGAAAAGCGAGCTGTCTATTACGCACTGAAGGAATAAACGTAGTCAACACAGAGACATTTGGAGATGACCAGATGGACATTCGTACTCAGTAATTTTAATTGTGTCTTGATATTTTGAATGCCTCATTTTGATTTCTTCTGATCAAAAGTCGCCACAGAACTCGTCGACGGTGAATTTCGGGTAGCAGTTGACGCGGAGCGGCCGGGGCCCGGGCTGGTCTCCCAGGGACAGCCACCACGTCCAGAGGTCGCCCAGCCAGTCCAGACAGACCAGGTAGAGCAGCAGGTCGAGGGTGTACTCTCCGGACCGCAGCAGGGCGCGGGCGGCCTCTCCCAGCCGGCGGCGCGCCCGGCGCCACAGTCGGCCGGCGCGGCGCGCCCGCCGCTGCCACCACGGCGAGCCGGGCAGCCAGAACGGCACGAGCACAGAGCGGACGGCGCAGTACCGCCGGCTGGCGGCCAGCAGCAGCTGGAACAGCAGACCGGTGAGCGCCAGGTCCGGCTGCAGCGGCGCCGGGCCGTGCTGGGCGGCCGCCATCAGCAGGCAGCTGAGCAGACCGCAGACGGTCAGCAGCACGGCGAACCGCACCGCCAGCCGAGCCAGCGTGCAGGCCAGCGCCAGGGCCGTGACCGCGCGCAGCTCCTCCACCCACAGGCCGTCAAAGTGGAAATTGTCATAGGGAAAGCTGACGAGAACAGTTTCAAGGAACAGACACAGGTAAAATAATATCAAGTCGGCCGAGAAGAAACCTTTCGCCCAGAACTTCATCTGGGCAGATAAATTTCTTCACCGTGATTTAAACACTTCAAATTTTGCGCAACCATTAGGGATACGAAGATCAAGTCATCGTTTACAACATGCTGAAAATTTGAAAGGTTATTCTACTACATGGCTGAGATTCAAAAAGGTGAAGTGTTTTGTGCGCGTTGTTTGCAGCTTTTCTTTTTCTAACTACTCGATTTTACCACCGTCGGAACAAAACTCGTGATTATTGTAATCCAGTACCGTTGACCAACAGAAGCGTTGCAGAATTAAGTACTCGAACAACATCATTGCTGGGCTCCAGATATTGATAATCCATCTATTGATAATCCTCAACATCATTGCTCTGGTGCTAATAAATGATTTCGGCGATGTCCACTGTCTAAATCCAACTTCGCACGGTCGGGTGTGAAAACAGTGTCGAATCCCAAAAGTAGATCGAAGTAATCGAACGTAAACCTTTCCATAACGCATAAACAGTCAAGAAGCTCAAATAGACTTCTATTCAATCTGTCAACACATGAGATGCAACACATTGGACAAAATGTCTCCAAAAACGCTCATACCCCGGTGTCAAACAGCAACACATCGTCAAGACATCATGTCCTCCGAATGCTCGGAGAAAGCAATTCCCCCACTGACACATACGCTTAGACACGGGCACAGGACGATCATTAATCATATACCCCTCCCCTCTCACATACACTCACGCCGACTCCCCTGCGCCGTGCCGTGCTGTGTCACTGGAACCAGGGCGAGGCGGTGGCAGGCGCTGCCGCCAGCTTCTTACGGTACTTGTCGACCAGGTTCGTGAATTTGGCGTCCTCGGGGCGCTCTTTTCCGCGGCCCTTTTCCGCCTTACGCTCCCGTCGGGACGGCTTCTTCTTTTGTTGCTGCAGGGAGGGATGGGCGAAATCGGTCACTAACGGAGCAACATCAGCATGCAAACTCAGCCTAGCAATCGCCAACGACTGTTGATAAGTTGGAATAACGTAATCGAGTTGGTACTGCGGATACACAAGAATGTTATGCTTCACCATGCTATTTTAGCGAACTTCTTGGCTCTGTGTTTCATCTTTCGGCACGGTTAAAAAAGCTTAAAAACGAGAAGCGATTCGTTAATTAGTACACACAATGTTTCCTCCTGTTCGCTCCTTACAAGAATTTCAGGGAAGGAGCTGTCACCGCAAACCTTAGTCAGCCTAGCACAAACAAAGCGAAGCCAGAGTTACTATTTACCTTTTCCGCGGGCGTTCTCTCCCAGTCCTGCACCACGTCCTTCTTATGACCGGCCCGCTCCCGCCGACCCTTCTTGTCCGCCTTCAGCATCTTCCTAGTGATGGCTTTGGCGCTCTCCTGGGCGCCGGCTCGCGACTTTAGCTTGGGCAGCCGTTTATTGGAGGGATCGGCGGCCATACCGGCGTGCGCTGGCCTCGCCGGCTGGGCGGCGGAGGCGGGGGCGGCGGGGGTGGCGGCGGAGGGGGCGCTCTTGGCGGCCTTCCGGGCGCGCCTGCTGAGCGCGGCCGGCGCGACTGGCTGGTTCATCTGTCGACTCTTCTCCTCTCGTTTGCGGCGAGCGTCCAGCGCTGCCCGGTTCTCCACGGCGAACTCCACAATGGGACGCTGTCGAGAGGCCAGACACGCCGTCAGACAGACAGAGAGGTCAGAAAGAGAGGGAGAGGCATGGAAGGGGAATGTGAGGGTAATAAACGCCCGATAAACAGCCAGTAGGTCGACAATGGGCCGCTGCAAAGACGGCAGATAGGCCGTCAGATAGGAGTAGGGGCAGCCAAGAAAGATCAGACAAGTAGAGCACCCTCAATCCTCATCTTAGTTATGAAATGAAAATATGCCAGAGAAGCACGCAATGAAACTTCAGCCAGAAACCAGGCGGAAGCAACTGAGATAGAAAGTATTGCATTACGCATATCGTAATATGATATACCGTAAACCGGGGTGAGTTGATATGGATTTTGAGGTTATTCTAGATTTCGTTAAAAGCCACATTCATTTACGGAATTCTTTTTGTGCCAGTTTCATGGCACATGCCTTGGGGAGGCAATCAGCAAAAATGAATAAAAAATGTATATATTAAGCCCCTTTTTTAAAACGCCAAAGTTCATATCAACTCACCACCCCACAGGGGGTGAGTTGATATGATTTTGGATTTTTCAAAATTTCTCGGCTAAAGAAGCTCAGAGGTGAGTTGATAAAATGCCAGTGTTTAAAAAAAAGGATGAGAGAACACATCCTGAAAGAAACCATTAGAAAAATGCTAGTAGTTTGGCAGCAGACCTCACATTCATGAAAACGCAATCATGTCCAACACAGCGCGATCAAAATGGCTTGATTTTAGCAGCATCATTTTTTCGCTTTATGATACTTAGTTTTACTTAGAACATTCTGAACTTGGCTAGTCACGTGTCCTCAAGCCAACGGTATCAAAACTGGCAATATATTTTGGAATTACAAGTGTATTTTCTTGTAATTAAAACACATTGTCAGTTGCGGGTCAAGGTTGATATGCCTCTGACAGAAATAATGGATTGAAATGAAAGAATACATATACTTCTGAGCTTTTGTTGACTGGTAGTCAACAAAATATTAATGAAGTGAAGTGAAGCGAATCTAATTCGGACTGTATTCTAAGCGACATAAAACAGAATTCGGCATCAAAAGCCAAAATTAACCCTCGCACTTATAGGCGGGCGAACGGACCACCTCGGCTTTTCGCACATAACTCGCGCAAAAAGCGGCCGATCACGACGAAACTTTCAGTACCTCTCGAGTTTATCAATTTTACACATGTTCTAAAGATTTCATGACTCTGACTCAAATGGTTTTTGACTTGTGACCTGATTCTCGAGACCATGCTTGGCCGGAATCGCGATTTGGCGTAGTCGGCTCACATTATCCGCGCATTTCCAGTCTTTTTGTGATTGTAACGTCCAAACATGTAAATGATGTTGGTCCCACGCAGTATTTTGGGTGTCAACTGTCAAGGTCACCTGAAGGTCAGGTCAGGTCATTGACCTTTGGTGACCTCGGTTCACTTTTTGGAGTTTTACATGTTTCTAGGGTAGTTTTTTTCGGGCCGATTTCGAATTTAACATGCATTTGATCATTTATGAAGTAGTTTTAGTGCCTTCGTAACATGTTACGACACCGTCAGTGGTAGCTGACACTTGACACTCCCTATGGATAGCCGGCAGGACACCTACTGGTTGACCTGACCTGACCTGACCTGGCCTAAATGTACGAAGACATCTGTGAGCAAAACTAACATGACATTCGCGATCAGCAACAGCCAAAAAATAATATACTCGCTTTACGAACTTCAAATAACCCCCTATTTTCCCGACTTCTGGGTAATTGACCTGGCCTGGAAGGTTAACCAATGACCAAGTTGGTTATCATCGGCTTCCTCGCGTCTCGGGCAACACGCTCATTTTTTCCGCGAAGCTCTAGCTCCACCAGGGGCCAAACGACGATGGGATTCCAACGGACCCCCCCCCCCCATACGTTAAACGCTGGCAAAACACGAATACGGGCGAGGGCTAAACACCAGTCAATTTCTTTATATTGTTTGTTCCATTTCATTTTGCCTCTCATTCTCGGTTGGCAACTGCCAAGCAGGAAAACTAATCAGTTTCACGAGATCAGAATTCCCGCGCTGTTAGCCATAAAGAAATGACAGTTCTGTCATTTTCGAAACTACGAATAAATATAACAGTTTTTTTAATCTGTATGTAATATAGGTGTTCCATAGTGTTCCTTTGTAGCTTGTAGGGAGCCATCTTGAGACTTGACAGGGAGCTGTGCTGTGCCTTTTGCATGTTAGGTATGTCCACAGAAAAAAACTTTGGGGTTACTGATGTTAGTTGTCGGACCTTCGTCCCCGTCTTGAGTTGAGATTCAGTTTCATAACGTTTCGGCCAGTTACTCTCCGGCCGTCGTCACTCGTCAGGTGTTCTTTGACCCTCAAGGACCTGGATGTTGGTGGCGTTGCGCCGTACGCGTCAAACAGTTCGAAAGCTCCTGTAGTCAGCGGGAATCGAACTCGGGTTTCCCCGGTGATGGTCCACGGTTGTAACCACTCCACTATCGAGGCAGGCTTGACTACGGCCGGAGAAGCTACTGGCTGAAACGTTGTGAAACTAACATCTCAACTCAAGACGGGGACGAAAGTCCGACAACTAACATCAGTGATACTAACAGGCCTCGTCTCAAGCATTCAGAAAAAAAAAACTAAAGCTTTTGGGGTTGATGGAATGATGTGGGGAAAGAAAAGGAGAAGAGTTGGTCTAATTGACTTTGTCTTACCTGCAGACCCATATTTCATGCTAATTTGCATGCCTACCAGCCTGGTATCAGCTTTTATCATGCATATCAACTCACCACCTGATGGCATATCAACTCACCACCTGTCACTTTTCTTAAAATTATAAAAAAGCGTTGTTATAGGTGAAACCCAAAACTACCTGGGATCAACAGTAAATTGATGGTAGTTTCTTCCCCAGTGCATGTTGTTTCATGAATATCCACCGTCTTTGCTGTAGGGTGGGGACTTTTCCTTAGTTTCAAAATCAGAAGAAAAAAAGGACTTTGAAAAAAGTAATGTGTTAAGAAGGCACTGCACCACATGCATGCCTTTCTCAGCTATATGCATCACTTATTGGTTGCTTCACTTCACAGAAAAATAAAACTAAAAATTGGTTTACAAATGGATGAGCAGCACACATTTTAACATTTTTCGAGCAATTTATATCAACTCACCACCCCATATCAACTCACCCCGGTTTACGGTACATTATATTATGTCAGCTTTCATTAGCCCCGACCTATCTGCTCCAAGGTCACGTCCGCACCCAACTCGCCAGTCCCTCTTTCTTACCCTGTTCACGGTGAAGATCTCGGGGTTGTTGTTGATGTTACGCAGGGCAGCGAGTGACGCCTCGTGCTGCGTGAAGGTGACGAAGCCGTACTCCTTGGACTGGCCCCGCGGATGAGACGATACATCCCGCCGGTCTCGCATCACTCGAGCCTGCGCGCAAACGTACAAACACGTCACGCGTCATAACAAATACTTCGGATACACACGCTTGACGCTTACCACGTCATAGTCTTGGAATTACACAACGTAGAGCCGCAACAAAGGCCTTTGAGGACAACTAACTAGCGACCGGCTCACACTGATTCGTCCATCACATCAGATGTTAATCCATATATTCCCTATATCGTAACACATGCCAGCATATCATTCTAACCGACGGTCCGCCCTTCAGTTTGGGACGGGGAGTCATACCTCTGTGATCTGCGCCCCTGCCGGCGCGTGCTGCTGGAACAGCTTCCGCAGCCGGCCGTCATCCCAGTCGACCGGCAGGTTGTGTACACACAGTCGCACCGGGGACACGAACATGCCCAGGTTGCGCAGCATCTTGGTCTTCCACTTCTCGAGGCCGATGCGTTTGTTGATGTCAGCGCGCGACACTCCCTCGGCTGCCCGGCTGCCCTCGCGTACCACTGTCGGTACCAGGGGAGGGAACGGGTGTAAGTAAATGGGCAGACCCATGACAGCGGGGAGACGGGCACGGAGATGAAAACGTTGGAAGATCACTCTCACACGTCACGAAAAGGGGCGGTAGCGAGTTGAATCAAACAATGGCACAACAAACGCAAGCCGGTCAACAATTACATCAAGCACACATACATAGTGTCAAAGTATGCGAATTCATGGACATGAGGCGTCCCTCTGAAACGCTAAAAAGAATACAAATGGATCGTGCGATATCTACTGCACGGGAGCAGCGTTCATTTCCAGAGCCGATTGACTTACGTCCTTCTCTGGCTAGGTAGAGGTTGCGCTTGTCCTTGCCCTCCGAGGCCTTCTCCTTCTCCAGTTCCCCCTTTCGCCGCAGCTGGTCCTTGTTGACCGCTGGTAGCACCTCGATCCGACGGTCATCCAGCGTGAACAGGGCGGCATTGTCGGGGCTGACGGCCGCCGTTCGCGCTGCCTCCGCCTCCTCGGCACTCTGAAACCAAGACGGCGCTCTTCAGTAACCTTCTGCGGTTGGCAGACAGTCGAACTACACACAGCCGTTAGTGAATACCTACTAACGTCAGAGCAGCCCTTGATGGAAGGCGGCAGCGAATATCGACGCGCGTGATAACATAATGAAACAATACATCGCCGGCTTGAATAACATAAGAGGGTTAAATGGCCGACTGACCTTGAACTGAACGAAGGCCGTGCCGCGCGGGTGCTCGGTAAGCGGGTCGACACACAGCAGCGCGTACTTGACCCGGCCGAACTGGGAGAACAGCTCCTTCAGCGTGTCCTGGTCCGTGTCGAACGACAGGTTCTTTATGAACAGCGTGCAGCCCTCGCCGACATCACTGGCCACCTTGCGATTTCTTTTAGCTGGCGTGGCGGCTTCCTCCTCCACGTCGCTACCTTCGTTCTCCTCACTTTCCTCTTCGGCGTCGCTCTCGTCACTTTTATCGTCATCGTCACTGCCTTCTTCGTCTTCGTCAGAGGCGGCGTCACTCTCACCGGTTTCAGCATCGTCACCATCCTCCTCCTCGTCATCGCCACTCTCCTCGTCTTCTTCACTGTCTTCCTCTTCTGGGGTTTCTTGGTCGACTGATGCCTTGCCCGGAGAGCTGAAAATATGTTCCATCGTCCGTGATGCAAAAAAAAAAAACACAATAAACAGTACGACGCTCGAAGGACATCATAAGCGATATTGATGGGAAGGACTTCACACCAGTTATCACACTACTGGACAACAAGCAAGCTCCCGAAAACACTGTGGTAATCACAGGATGCATGGCAAGTGGCGATGTTGTTTCCAAACATTGTCATTAAATTGAGATAAGAGTAAATTTCACTGGAAAGTTCAGGCAATGTAACCCGAAATAGTCGCCGGGTAGGACGTGTACAATCAAACAAAGCTGACTAAATACATATGCTGTTGAATTACTTGTAGGTATGTAAAAGAAAACTGATCGATGCACGGAACAATGATGCTGAATTACTTATTAGTAAAAAATAAATCGACATTCGACACCCTAAACGATTTTAATAGTAAAAACTAAAAGAGCAAATATGGCGATAAGTTGAGCTGAAACAGTATTTGATCAGTGGATAGTGTGCTATCAAAGAACTCATTGCCATATATTGCACTCAATGACAGGTACACGGATACATTTTCAAAGACTGACCTGTTCATCGTCTCGTCATGGCTGGAGCCGTCATCGTCACTCCCCTCGTCTTCTTCTTCTTCGTCCTCATCTTCTACATCCTCCTCATCATCTAGAGGTCGCTTACTACCCTTGCTGCCGCCCGTCTGCGCCGGCTTCTGGGCGGCTTCGTACCGTGTCTTGTCCACCGCCCAGTCAATGACTATCGGTCGACCTGCACAAAAGAACGGAAACGGAGAGTTTGTATGTCAATACTGCTAAGATAAATCAGTGTCGGGTTCACTTTCGCCCAAAGGAAGCGTAGCAATCATTTTTCCGTAGCCGATCTAGTGTAACGCAACAAAAAATACCGGCTTGAGGAGACACACAGTAAAAAAAAAACAAAACAAAAAAACAATGATATGAAAGATTACTTGATACGACAAAAACACAAATCATGATTTACCAAGTACTTCATCAGCTTTTAGAGTTACACTTACCAAGAAAGGGCTTTGTATTATACTTCTTGATAGCCTCTTGAGCATGCTTTTCATGCTTGAACTGAACAAAGCCACAGCCAACTAGAAGCCCATTCGATTTCTTCAACAGTTTAACTTCTGTAACGGGTCCAACGGATGCGAAATGCTTACGGAATGAGTCGTCGGTAACCTGAAACATAAAACAAAACACTGAGACCATCTATCAAAATGAATGAGTCCATGAATCTATTAAATCCATCCCTTCAATGATTCATCCATTTAATGATTCAATGGACGTTATAAAGCTCCTAGTCGGCTCTTTTCTATTCGAACATTATGAGTAAATGACTTCAACAACACGACACAATTAAAATCTGTTCGTTTACCGGCATACGTGCTGGTGCTTCGGAACCAGAACCTCTCACCTTGAACGACAAATTCCGGACAATAAGACGACCTTTCTTGTTTGGTGCTGCTGCATGTGCATCCTCTTTAGCATCGGGCGACTTCTTTTTCTTAGGAGGACTGCTTTTAACGGCGGCTGCTCCGCTGTCCGTTTTCTGTTTCTTCCGTACCGGTTCTTTCGACGGCGTGTGTTGATCGGAGCCGGCGGGGTGGCCTGAACCTTCCTTGGCGGCTCTGGACTGTTTCTGTTTTCGGTTTGATATGGACACAGTGAGATGGTTGCCGCGAACAGTGGCGTTTTGGAGCTCCGCCGCGGCTGTATCCGTGTCCTCCGGTAGCGCGTACGTCACGAACGCGTATGACGAGGCCTCATTCTTGGCTGTAAGACAATGTTAGCTGTGACAGCATGTTTCAACAAAGTTATGCATAGAACAGTATGCTTTTAAGAAGTTCTTTTGATATACTTGATATTGCAATGACTCAATGATTTATTCCAATAATTATCCTAAAACATAACAACCAGGAAATGGTATGATCCATAGGTAGGAAACTGTGCACCATAAGCATGACTCAACTGCACAAATAGCTTAATTTGACAAAGTCTAATAAAAGAAACCACTTTGTAAAAATAAAGTTACCCTTGAGGACAAAACATTTCTTGATAGGTCCTGCTTCTCCAAATATTTCTTCTACTTCTGTCCGTGTGGCATCCACTGGAAGATTGCCCACATACAAAGTGGATGATTTTATCTGGGGTGTCATTTCTACTTCAATGTCTTCTGACTGAATTCTGCATTTGCATCAATCTGGAACATAAAAAAGAAAGACTCTACTCAGCATTGCCAGGGTCAGCTTCATTCTGTGATCTGCTTGCAAATGATATGTGATATGCTGCTTTGTGAATGTACCAACTATGCAACCATAGAACACACAATCATGATAGGCATACACAGTGCCAATGAAAGACAACATGTCATATTTAGGTTTCTACTTGGTCAGTGTAACTGCCCCATGCCCACTGATCCTAATGGCAGCAGGGAAACATTGTCATAGACCTTTATTAGCATCTTGGAGCTTGAAGGCACTACCACTGCAAAAGCTCAGACTGTCCTGTCACAGAAAGGCAGAATGCAAAATACTGAAAACAGGATATCATTATCACACAGAACCTCTCAGTGTGAAGAAAATTGGAAAATGAAAAAGTATTTACTTTAATGGTTTTAACTAGCCATCTTGCAGTCATTTCATCAATTTTCAAGTCCGACTTAAAATTGCTACAATCACAATGAACATTAATAGTAATTCTACCATCACATATGCTAAGAATTAAATCACAAAGTACTGCACTTCAAAATCATCATTAACACTGAACTTGCAACAAATTAAGCCAAAATAATAAAATTCCAAGCCATATTACTACGTATCAACTCCCATAGAGCTAGTTTGAGATTCCATAAGACTGAGGCCAGTTTTACCAACAGAAAATAGCAGCCAGCCTGAATTTTTCGCTTTAAGACTGCTTCACATACGGAGTGTAAACGTGCTGGGCAGTGGGCACATAAGCGGATAGGGTTTACCATTTACAGTTCTTTATGCGACCTTACGGTCACAGCCGACATGGTCAAACACAAGTTGATGCGACTCAAGAGCTCTAGTTCCCCAGGGCCAGACAGAATCCACCCTAGGGTCTTGGTCGAGGCTGCTGCTCAGCTGGCGGTCCCACTCTCCATCATCTACAACAAGTCCATCCAGTCTGGCTGTCTTCCAGACGACTGGAAGCTTGGCACCGTAGTACCTATTCTGAAGAAGGGGGACAGGCTGGACCCAGGCAATTATCGCCCAGTGAGCTTGACTGCAATTCCTTGCAAGGTACTTGAATCCCTGATTCGAGATCATCTCATGACTCACCTGGAAGAAGCCAACCTCCTATCAAACCACCAGCACGGCTTCAGACCACAGCGATCCTGCATGACCCAGCTTCTTGAAGTGCTGGATGAGTGGACCAAGTGCATAGAAAATGGCGAACCAGTTGACGCGGTGTACCTCGACTTCAGAAAGGCCTTTGACTCGGTGCCACACCTGAGACTTCTGAATAAACTCGAGCGATACGGGATCACAGGTAGGGTAAAGGGCTGGATTGCCTCCTTCCTGTCAGATCGGCGTCAACAGGTGGTGATCAGAGGACACTGCTCGCCTTGGGAGACTGTGACCAGTGGGGTTCCTCAAGGGTCAGTCCTCGGGCCGATGCTGTTCATCATCTTTATCAGACTTACCCGAATCCGTGCAGAGCTCCATCAAGGTCTTTGCAGATGATACCAAAATCTTCGGAACACCATCGTCCACTGGAACAAGCTTAATCCAGCGAGACATTGAGGAAGTGGCCAAGTGGTCCGAGAAGTGGCAACTGCCTTTCAACGAATCGAAGTGCAAAGTCCTTCATCTCGGCCCTAGGAATCCTGGGCGCTCATACACCATGAATGGTCTTCAGCTGAAGACGGTTGAAGTAGAGAAGGACCTGGGGGTTCAGCTGGACTCTGACCTGAAGTTTCGTAAGCAGGCCGCGTCTGCAGCTGCAAAGGGCAACCAAATGCTCGCACTGATAAGAAGATCGTTCAGCTGCATTGATGCGACTACCCTGCCGATCCTCTTCAAAACGCTGGTACGACCCCATCTAGAATATGGGAACCTCATCTGGGGGCCCTTCAACCGAGCTGATCAGAGGCTGATTGAACGAGTGCAGCGGAGAGCAACCAAACTGGTCCGAGAGCTGAGACACTTGCCCTATCAGGAACGCCTCCGGCGCCTCAAGCTCCCATCAATGTACCACCGAAGACGGAGAGGAGACGTAATCGCCATCTTCCAGATTTTGACGGGTGGAGTTAACGTTCGGCCGGACCAGTTTTTCGAGCAGGCAGTGTCATCTGTCACCAGAGGACATGCTCTGAAGCTGTTGAAGCCTCAAGCTACTTCAAGACCCAGGAGAAACTCTCTATCGGTCCGCGCCATCAACGACTGGAACGCGCTTCCTGCCTCTGTGGTCCTCTCTACGTCTGTCAATCTCTTCAAAGCCCGTCTCGACTCTCACTGGGGTGATGCATCCTTTGACATCCCAGTCCAAGATTCATGACTGTCACTAGTAAGGAGCTCGATGAGATCAGATCCCTACAGGCCTTATAGGCCTCAAAATTCTGTATTGGTAAGGTAAGGTAAGGTAAGGTAAGGTTCTTTAGGCAAGAAATTCCGGCACGCGGCTATTTTTCTGATGGTAGAACTGGCCTCAGGCCTGATAAGATTCTCATTCTTAGGAAAGCATTAGAATGCTCCCATGTGCTTTAAATGAATCTCCTGCAGCTTACTTAAACAGTTTTGAAATAGCAAGTACCTTTGAGGCTTAATATAAGGCTTTCTTTAATGTTTTTTAAGTTTCACAGGAAAACGACGCATCATTTGTCATGGTCGCGTCAACTCATTTCGGCCCTCTGCCTCTTGCTCGGCCTCAGCCTCGGCCCCTGCAGTCGGCAGATTTAAGTCTGTGTGTATTAGGCAATAGACACACTCTGCAACAACTTACCACAGCTTTGTGGATGCAAATATTTCACGGTAAATGCAGGTAAATAAAAGTATGGAATATTTAATTACTTATTTATGATGCGATTGCGTTCAGCGTGATTCGCCACGTGCGTGCGCCTGGGAATTTTGCATGAATGTTATGTCTTTGTCACGCCATTTATGTCGACTCATCAAATAAGCATGCGACTAGGAATTTGTAAATGCATTATTAATCACGGTCAGCTTCGTCATAAAAGTTAATTTCAGAGAATAAGAATTTGCAGATAGTTTAAGAATATGTAACTTATTCACTTGTTACGGGGTTGATGAATGTGGCAAGCGAATCAGCCGCCACGCTACCAAGTACAGGCAGCTACACGCGCCTTGCTACACGCTACCAGCTTCCAGGCATGTGACGATAAACCTGTCAGGTTGTACTTTGTAGCTCAGTTATTGAGCGGACCTTGCTGACACTGGCGAAGATGATTGATGCTAGGTCCTTGGGAGAAGCTATTGATCTAGAAAATTAGGTCTACTTATATGCGTAAATTTGTTGCTTTTGAGGGAACATGCTCAAAGTTAATGAATCTTGAAAAAGGCTCTAGGTAGGGGTGGGTATTCTATAACGACATGACCACTTTGACCACTTTCTGACAGAAAAGTTACCAGATCTGTCTATGAACAGTCATTCTGTAACTACACATGCATTATCAAATATGAATTCGAGCCCCATTGACACTTACCATGAAACATGCTTCGTATATTTGAACATTGTGAGTTGTGGTCACATCGCAGATATACTGCATGATCGATTGGTATCGATTGGTTGTGAGCGTCCGAACTGCGGAGGCCATCGCAGCGCCCGGACTTCTGACGAGCAAGGCTCTGTTTAGAATATGCTGCGACCTTAAAAACAATCCTTCTTCACAACACACATCTACCGAACACACCACGATACGCCCGCCCAATCACCCTTGATGTTCGTGCTACACTCATCAAATGTGCTTCATAGTCATTCATAGTCTTCATTCAGTCATGTGCCATGAGGTGTTTCAGCATTTGACCAGCCAACTGCCAAGTTCGGCCGTCTGTCGTGACATGCAAAGTTACGCTGCCCTAATCGTTTCCACGTCTACTTCTTCCGGCTCGGGGTATGCACGCAATTATATGCATCACACAGAACAGTACTGTTCGTAAGAGCGCCCATTTAGAGAAGTGTAACTTTCTGTGACTAAACTCGTATCTACTGCACACGCATCACCAATGAAAAACCCCGATTGAGGCTACACATTTATTTTCCATTGTAATTTTTGGGTTCGCAAACAGCGAGAAATGATTGAACGACACGATACGGGTAATTGATCGTCGCCCTGACCACGTGCACCATATATATCCACTCACGGGTTAGCCTAACGGGAAGATACACGGTCAGACGTCAGGTCGACAGTCCACCGACAATTGGCTACAACAATCCTACCCATATGTACAGAACACATTCACAATCACAACACATCCATACGATATCGCTCCCATCACATAAAGTATTTTATACACATAGTACTGTACAGAGCATCAACATATTATCAACATATTTGATAGAGAATAGCCTAGGTAGCAAATTAGGGTCGAAAGAGCTTGACGTAAATGCCAGGAACGCAATGCAAACAGCCGCCAGCTAAAATCCGTCGAAAATTGTTCGCCTGTTCTACAGATGTGTTCACGAGGGCGGCCGCCCGGCCGGCAGCAGACGCCCGGGCCGCCCGGCCGCACGCCTCCGACTCCCTCCCGTCTGTCTTTATGCGTGATGTCCGCGCGGGTACAGCCGTGCGTTCACTGCACCTGAGGCGGCCGGGCCCAGTTGCCGGCCGATTCTGGATGTGTAAGTGGAATGTTGCGCAGGGCGAGGGGCGACCGCCGGCGCCCTAGCGGCATCACAGGACGTATATAGACCGGGGACAGACGCGCTGGCCCACCGCCTAGATATGCGCCCACCGCACACACGCGCATCAGCGCCGCAGAGCCGCACGTGTGCTGCACTGGCCCGACCGACTGGCCGCTTATGCCTTGATGTACAGGAAAATGGCAACGATGAGACCGTACAGACCCAACACTTCGGCGAAAATCAGAATGAGGATCATTCCGACGAAGAGGCGGGGCTGCTGGGCCGTGCCGCGGACGCCGGCGTCACCCACGATACCGATGGCAAATCCGGCCGCCAGACCGCTGAGGCCCACAGCCAGGCCGGCGCCAAAGTGCACGAACCCACTGCAAGACACAGCGCAGCTGTCAGTAATGTATCACGGACCACCGTACGACCGAAATAACCTGAACACAGAATAACTCTACAAAGGCTGTTATGTAATCTCAGGCAAAACATAGCTGATTATCAGTTTTCAAAAGGGAAATTGCTGCTTTTGTGCCTGAGAAGACAAAATGTTTAACATATGCCTTATCATTACCATGCCAGTAACATCATACTTCAACAACTCAGTGAGATGTCAATTTTCAGAATGTTCACACTTCACACAGCCTTGATTGTCAGGAAGGCAATGCTCATTGAATAACAGCAGCTTCACACCCCCTTGTCTCCACCCAGTACCCCACCCTCCATGGACCAGGTAACTACTGGAACTAACTGCAAGTGTAACTTGCTGCAGGTAGATGACAGCAGTCCATGCACTCTAGCCATGCCAAAGTGCACTTTATCTAAAAAACCCTCTCCACATATGATTAAATCTATGACTGTCACATGACTATTGCTGACTGCCATAACACAAAACATGTGGTGGTCAGGATAGAGATAATACAATATCAGCATAAGTGATCCTTCAAGTCACTTGAGGCTAGGCCTAGGAGCATTAAATTGTCCAACACCAACATCAAAGAATGTGGTACATGCAGTGAATGCATGCAGTGAATACAAGCATGTAATACACTATTGGCTAACTATGACATATGTAAGATAAGTGACACCAATCATCAAAAAAGCATATTGCAACAAAATCGACAAAATTATCACCATAACAAAATGTAAGTAGCTTTAAACATAGGTAATAAAGTCTAAAAAGGAAGACTTACGAGAAGAGCTCATATTTCTCTGGCTTGTCAATTCCTCCAGCGATGAGCACAGCCACCACAAGGCCGTAAATGGCCAGAATACCAGCCATGACCACGGGGATGATGGACTTCATGATGAGCTCTGGCCTCATCACGGACATGGCAGCAATACCAGTTCCAGACTTCGCTGTGCCATAAGCAGCACCCATGGCTGAAAAGAAGCAGTAATTTTTACAATCAAAGCTCAGAAATTATGTAAAACAAGTCACTAGCAAGTAGCTATTACTTAGACATACCTACCTCAAAAAGCATACTACAGTATCAGCTCTAGAGTATCAGCTTTAGGTAAAAGCTTTCATGGAACAATAATTTTCTGCAATTCAAATCATGCACCACAAGTGACATAGCTAAAATCACAGTAAGTAGGGATTCAAGCAGGAATGAGCTTTGCAAAATGACTGAGTTTTAAAACCTATTCATGAAATAAAATGATATGAGAACAATTATGTGACAATTTCACATTAAACATGACACAAGCAAACCATTAGGTCACATTTTATAATCCAATGGTCTAATTTGGTGATCATATAGCAGGCATCTCACATGCTGCCACCAGTTTGTGAAAAGTTGCTAGACTCCAGTTCTTGAGATATTGAATTTCACTGTAGGTTATAACTGTAGGTTGTAGGTAAGGTGAGGTGATGTTTGATTGTGCTGTTCTGTAAGATTCCTTATTAAAGAATCCCAAAACAAAACCCTTCTAAATATCTGAAGGACTGAAGAGTCTAGCAACTTTAGAAAATGGGCGGCAGCATGTGGGTGGACAGTGAAAACAGAGCACCTGGGGCAATTTGATCAGGTCTCTTGAAATTCACTTGCACAGAGCGCAGACAGTTGGCTTAGGGAAGGGAGAGAGGGGGAGAACTTCTTAAAGATCACGTGACTGGACATATCCTCCAGCTCAGTTTTCAACATCCAACAGCATGCGAGATGCCTGCTATATGAATACCCTTATTTTTGACCAGAGGCCAGTTTTACCAACAGAGAAATAGCCGCCTACCAAATTTTTCTTTGCTAAGGACCGCTTCACATACGGAGCATGAACGAGATGGGCACGTAAGCGGATAGGGCTGTACCGCTCCGCTGTACCGCTGAGACGCTCTGTATGTGAAGCGGTATTTTGCAAAAAAATTCTGGCACGCGGCTATTTTTCTGTTGGTATAACTAGCCTCAGCTTTGCAAAATCTATGAAACACATTATAAAAGTTACACAAAACACAAGGAGCTTATAACTGTTCAGAGTAAAAGCAGGCAGCTCAGCAACAAATTTATGCACATTACCTTTGGCATGTCACAAAAATTAACATTTTATCAACTATATAACCATGACAATTAGATATTTTGGAACATATTGCAAGCATGTATGGAAACAGTCGATCCATCAGCAATAAGCAAGCGATTTATAACGGGAAATAATGGGAATATGAGCCGGCAGATTGTGATCCGGCCAGAATCGAAAGTCTCGCCTCGCAACTTACCGCTGAAAACCATGGCTGAAGCCGCTCCCATAACACCGAAGAACGGTCCATAGATGGGCCTCTCGTCAGAAGACATCTTGTCGCTGATTTTTGGGAGACTGTTTCACAAACGACTGCGGGCGTCGCGAGGAGCGATGAGACAGCGACGAGAATATGGCCGGGAAAGAGGAGAGCTTGTGCGCATGTCTTGTGACACTCAATATTTGGGGATGAGACACCACTAAAACCTGCAACGCTATTGGCTTACACCATAGTTGACTGGGAAGTTAAACCAATCAGAAACTGTTTTACAACAGCCCAGCTGAGCCACACCTGTGACGTCACAGCTGCCTTGGGCAGTGGCTAGTAAGAAGGGATCAAAATATTGGTTTTATGTTGTGAAAAATCAATTTTTCAACATATTTACTTTGCGCAAAATGTGTTAAAAAACAATTTATCGATACTAATTGAGTAATATGAGAACTTTAAGGAGAAATGTCACGAAATTCTAATTATTTTCTATTCCTACCATTCAGTATTTCTAAATAGTTTTTATAGGCGATTTACTCATAAAATTTTGATATTTTGGAAAGATTTTGCAGCAAAACGAATTCGAAAAGGTTTTTTAAGAGGTATCAGAAATGAGCGTGAAACTGGCGCGGCTGTTGCAAAATTTTTACATTTAGTCATGTTCTATATCGGCTTGCGAACACTCGCTCACATGCAACGAGTCATATTTTGATTTTTTATTTATGTATTTGACCAAGGCACCCTGAATAGTTTAATTGAAGCACTTTCGTACAATTTATATCATTTTTTGGCTCTTGAATTAATATATCATCTCTTTATGCAACAGAAATCTCAACTTTTTATGCAAGCTTTTCCGTACTCTTGCCCTTGCTCTTGCCCTTGATTGGCTGCTATCTGCTGGTTTCTGCCGACATACGCTGTTGGATAGATAGCTGAAAACAAGTATGAGTTCTATCATTATGTGTGATAAATGCTTGGGGCGAATTACGATTTCAGTAGGTGGAACTATGGTCATGAGTACCCAAATATAGGAACGTTCCCATTTTTGGGAACGGAGTTCCCAAATATGGGAACGGGCGTTCCCATTTATGAGAACGGAAGGTAATTTTTCGGCCGTTCCAAGGCCCTATATACCAGGTAGGGTCGTCCGGCGATTCTACCTTTTCGTGACGTCAGCTCGTGACGTCATTTGGAGTCAAGTCTCTAAGCCCCGTTCAATCCCCATGTAAATAAGCGATTTTCGAAGCACTGTAGAATGAAGTCTGCATAAGATATATCAAACCTAAGTATCTTATCTGAAAGAGCAGACAATTTTCTGCAAGTTATCTATTACGTGTTTTTCGCTAAATCTTTTGCTTTTTTTCACAAAAGCGTAAAATGTCCCCCCATGTCTCCGCAGCCTCCCTGCCGCCGGCCGCCGCGCGGTCGCGGTAGTGTAGTGGTTAGCGTGCCCGCGCAGTATTCCAAAGGTCCCGAGTTCGAATCTATGCGGTGCGGAACTTTAACTGCAATTCCAAGCTGAATATACGCACATCCATAATAAATTATTATTCGTATAGCTAAACTGTCACCAAGCTATCCATATAAATTGACTTCACCCAAAATATCGGCAACATTCTATTAAAATATAAATTCAAATATGGCGGCTTGGACTGCCGCGTGCGTTAGGCTCCGCCCATAGCTCCGCCCACATGCGTGACGTCATTCGTGTTAGTGGACACACGCGGAGATAGGGGACGACATGGGCCTGGGCCGTTCTCCCACTAAAACTCATTAGTGCATCACGTCTCAAAAAAGTGCACGCTAATTTAAGTATCTACTAAATCTCTATAAAATTATCTTTAATCTGACCGTTGAACGAGGAAATTGACCGTCGAATGATATTTTTAATGATTTTTTTGAAATGACGGAATGGTGAAAACATGGGTTATACTACATTTAACATGCAATTTAAAGGAAAATGAAGCGTTTTTTACATTTTGAGGTCAAGTATAATAATTTTCGCCTGGTTATGAAGTTTCATACTAGCGACACCAGATGCTGACATATGCAAGCGAACACGCGGACAGTCCTGAGGTAATATTGTTGAATTTTGGTCTCGGGGCGCACGACCGCGTGGAACGTCAGTGATTTTACCGAACTACTGTTGTAAACTCAGTTTCAGTGGTTTAAAATTATTCAGCTGTATTTTATCAGCCCGGAAAGACATATTTTATTTGGATGCTAGCTGTTTAGCATTGTTTTATAAGGAGCGTCATGAGCGTGGTTTTTGTCTTCCGTGTTTCTAAGCATGATCGTTTTGGGGGAATTTCTCTTATATAGGTCGCTCTGTGTGGCTTATTTATAATTTTTATGCTGATTTCGATCATTCCTCGTGCCCATCCTACCAGGCCTTTTGCCACTTACACTCATTAAGAAAGGAAAAAACTAGATTTTCCATGAGACTAGGTGTTTTGAGGGTGTAACATATTCAGCGTTCCCATTTTTGGATACTTCTTTGTGCTCGTCAACTATCGGTGATAAACAGACAGGTGCTTGACATGTCTCCACCCTCGGCGCGGACGGTGGATATAGGTATGGAAGACCTTGTTGAACATCGCTGAGCGTTGTGAATTACGTAATCCTGCAGAGGGGGCGTGCCCGCTGCGAGATCGACGGGAATAAAAGCGCAGAAGACCGGGCGAAACATGCGACGGTCTTGCCGGAAAGGTCATCTGATGATTGTTGCTGAACAATAATTTGCGGCGTTGGACATGATGCTTGTTAATGAAAAGAGCCCCTGAAAGGCGTCGGTGAAATCGTTCCCAATTTTGGGTACGCCGTTCCCATAATAGGGAACGCTTGCAGCGCCAGTGTACGAGAGCGTTCCCAAATTTGGGTTCGCGGCCCGGATGATGGACTGCTTTAGAAATAGGGGAACGATTTAAAACTACGATGGGCCTTACAATATCAAACTCTTTCCCAACAATATTGAGACAAATATCAGGCGGTTCACGATCGTTTTATATTTTTTGGACGTCATTTAACGGTTCTTTTTCTTGTTTTAAATAATTCCTACATGGCGTTCCCATATTTGGGTTTATCGTTCCCAAACATGGGAACGAAAATGCGTTCCCGAAAATGGGTACGCTTGACCATAGTTCCGCCTACTGATTTGGCTTTGAATGGGTTTTGGGTGTGGCGGAATAAAATATTGAGTTCGAATTTTCGTTATATATGCTTTTATGAAGATGACAAAAAAGTGTTGCTGTTCCAATCTTCTGTGTCAGTTAAAAGCTGTACATATACCTTGATTTTTGTTTTTGCAATTGATTGAATTTGGCTGAACAGCAGCAAAATGGACTGCATTATTTTTGTAATTTACTTTTAAATGTATCCTTTTTGTTATCCATTGCTTCCTGAATAAGTTCAGATATCCCAAGCACATTTATAAATTTATAAAATGCTGCAAGGCTCATTAGGTAGGTACCTACTGCCCTGGCTCTTGGACACACTGCTTTGCTTCATTATGATTAGGAAGGCAACGTGTCATGTATAGAGGGTGCATCTAGTGCATGTATAGGTAAAATTCATACTTACCCTTACATACAAATCCATTCATACCATATACATTTACCTTACATGTAGACATACCTTACTGCGCACATTTACATACATACATTCTTAGGTGCCTACATATCATTCATTTTTTTGTAATTTTCCAGGCCGCTGTTCCAGGCCTCTTGAATAATTTTTCTAGGAATCTATTTCTAGTAAAAAAGCTTTGATAGAACATTTTGTACTCCACTCCACATGAAGTATAAACTCAGATCAGTAGGTAAAATACTTAGAATGATGATGAGGTATTTTTGTTTGTTCATTAGGGCTTTAGCGATACTCATATTTTGATGATATAAAGAATTATGTTTCTATCTCAGAATCTGTAAAATGAAGTAGAAATCATAGGTGTGATGCCACAGATATGGCCTCCAACTAGCAGTCCACACCCATCTGATGACTGATGCTTCATGCTCTTTTTTATATTTGGGTGATGGTGTTATTGATTAGGTAGTCCAATGCCTAAGAAGGTAATCACAGCATCAAGACATAAAATGTAATGTATGGTGACATGAGGTAGCTGGTTAACCAATTCTGGTGGTAGGCTTGCCCATGCATTGATAACCTTACAGAGAAGGTGTTGTGTTGATTGAACTTGGGCGGCTGCTCAGGCTTCACTTGTTGAACTTGGATGACTGCTCAGTTTTTACTAAGCACCTTGAGCGTCCTGTGGTCTCATGGATGACTGGGTGGCCGAAGAAGTTTTCCCGTTGATCCCGCCATGAATCATCGTAAACACTGATATCATGTTTCCATGCTTTCGGTAAAATAGAGACTGTAATTTGAACACTTGCATTTGCTGGGTTTATGGCTGTATGGGTGTTCTGTGAATGGTAGGTAACGCAGCTCCGATATTTTCTGTGTCTCCCACCGGGCTAGGTTTGGTTTGGTTAGATTTAACGCGCTCTTTGAGTCTGTTCCGTCCGATTGAATGTTTCCACAGTCCACATAATGTTTCCGTATTCGAGGTGGGACGGGACCGTGGTTGCCAGTTTCTAGGGCCAGTCATGGCTTTCTTGACTCGCACGCGTTCTTGCTGGTCGCCAACGTCCTATGAATCCCTCCTTTATGAAAGAAAGTTATGAAACTATAAATGTGAGTGTGAAATTACGTGTGTTAAAAGTGGTCCCATGGATGCCGTCTTTATTTACCTTATATTTATATTTATATTTATGTTTATATTTATGCCACATTTTGAGTCAATTCCGCTGCGGATGGTGGCTATTCCATGCCTCGAGTCAATTGCCTTAGGCAATGGGAAGAATGACTGATTTCATACATACTCTAGGGGGAGGGGGAGGGGGAGGAGGGGGAGGGTACAATACAATACAATACAATACTCTCACACATACCACACGATACATCCGTACCATACCGTACTATTTCATCCTATCACACACCAACATACAATGCTACAATCGCACCGCATCTTGGACACACGGGATTTCAGTTAGCGCGCTCTAGCCGCCGGAGATGGTCCCTCAGTTTGCTGAATGACTAACAGTTTATGGCTTATAACTGCTTTGTGTTTGTTCACAGGTCATTAACAGTCATTTGTTGGCTGCTGTGAGAAAGAGAGAAGCCGAGAAGATAACAGGCGTTTCTATACCTTCTGAAATCTGAGCGGCAAAATGAACATACGTGATCAGCTTGTTGTTCTTGTGCTGGTTTGCCTGCAGATTCCATCAGGTAATGTAGTTGTACTTGATTTTGATCAAGTCGAATAGATCATCGAATCTCAATAAATATCAGCCAGCAAAGAGCGACGAGGAAATGACCTAAACGGCGAAAATACAATTTTCTTCAATCGTAGTCGCCAGTTGGAGCCCGTAACCCAAAACGATGTGTTAAGTGGCAGCCGGAAATAATCCTCAACTTGTTGGGAATTACGTACGAGTGAATCATAGAATTGGAGTGGTGCGGACTGCAAGATCGTAAGTCCGTAGTAGTTGGAGATGTTGGAATGCCTGCTCAAATGGTCATTGATGGCGAATGATATTTAATGAACAATTTAGAAGTGATTTATCCGTACCCATCATATCCATCATATCATTAGAAGTCTTATTACGAGACGAAAGATTAGCTTACGAGTTGCGACGCCGATTGGACCGGCAGTCCGGGACTCCGGCCGTATTGACTATGCAGTTGTTCCTGTTTTCAAGTATGGGTTGACCGCATTTGGGATATGAGGAGCCAAAAGCTATAATTTTCAAAGCTGGTCCATTTTGTACTGGGTTGATATAACTTGCACGAGTCGACGTAGTAGTTTACTGGAGATGGGATAAAGCCGATGAATAAAAATACTGAATTCTTCCCTTTTACGGTTCCGCATTCCTTAATTGTGGTTATCATTTTCCTCAGCCCTTTTGCGCTTTGATGTTCGCTCATTCCAATCCGCAGCATTAAAATGACTGGTTCCTGTGAAATATATGCTCAGTTTCAGTTGCGTATTTGTGTAATGACACTGAAGTATTTGCCGGTGATGAGACTCGCCGTCATGTGATCCCCCGGCGCCGCGCTGTCAGCTGATATCGGGCGGGGGGCCGTCAGCTGATCGCTGCCACCTGACACCACCACCGGCTGCCGCTCCATTCCAGGCCTGGCGATCTGGTGCTATCAGTGCGTGAGCACCCACCCGGGCTGCGGCAAGGAGTTCTCGCCGCAGCTGTACTGGAGCGTCTCCTGCCCCACCCCGTGGGATGTCTGTGTCAAGGTCACGGAGACCAAGGGCGGTAAGGCTGCGACCCGCTCCTCCGAACCCGCCCCTATATTTGGCAGCTGGTGCGAGCGTCTGACCGGCAGAGAGTGTGGGATCTGCTCGCCGTATGCTAATCAGCGACGCCGTGCAAATCTGGTCGCGGCGAACCCGAGTACATCTTTGCGCACTGCACAGCGCTAGAAACTGTTGTTTCGTAAGGCGTACGCTTTTTAGCGTCAAGCGCTTGACGAGTCACTGCTGAGTGCTCACTGCTCAGGCAGTATCGCTTTCCCTATCACCCTTGAGATATGTTGAATGAGGCCGCACTTGAGATAGCGCGAACGGAACTACCAGTCTCGTGGTCAATAAGGTCACGAGTTGATATGGAAAAGAAGTGTGCAAGTTTGAAACTCCAAGTCATGAGCAAATGCTTTGAATCACGAAACATCAAATTCCATTGCAGTCGGGGAATCATATGCTAAGTAGGTATAAATAAAGACTTACTAGCAATCTATCAGATAAATTCTGTCAGAAATTGTGCCAGATTTCTCCAAGTCCCGTGTTCAACTTTCGCCCGTATTAGCCTTTTACAGCGTGTAACGAATAGGGGGGGGGGGGGGTCCTGGGAACCTCTGCCGTTTAGACCCTGATCAAGCTAGAAATTTGCAAAAAAAACAAAAAACAACAACAACAAAACAAACGTGTTGTTTGTAACGAAAGGAAGCCGATGGGCGATGATGTCCAATTTTAACGTCTTAGGTCATCGGTTGACCCTCCTGTGACCCAAAAGTCGGGAATATCGGGACCTGCTGTGACTTGGTAAATTGAGGATGTTATGGTTTTTCGGGACCATTATTACGAAGTTCATGCTATTATTGATCAAAAATGATGTCTCAATGCATTTTGGATTGGACGTAGCAGGGCAGGTCAGGTCAACCAGTAGGCACCCTGCCGGCTATCCATAGGTGTAGGACGTAGGTGTTAGCGGTCAGCCAACCACTGATAGCTTCGTAACATGTTACGTAGGCACCAAATCTTTTCGTAATTATTCAACTCGGTGCTAAATTCGATAATCATCTCCAAAAAGTATCCTGGAAACATGTATAACTCGAAAAAGTGAACAAAAGTCGACAAAAGTCAATGACCTTGACCTGACCTTCACGTGACGTTGACATCCACTATAATGCATAGAACAAACAGTTCACATGTTGGAACGCTTACAACAAAACGCTTACGACAACAACCATCATCACCACCACCAAAAAAACTGGAAACGCGCGGATAATGTACGCTGACATACGCCGAATCTTGATTCGACCTGACAGGGTCACAAGAAACAGGTCACAGGCAGAAGGTCATTAATTGGGCCAGGGTCATGAAATCAAGGTAGGTATAAAATTGACTAAATCGAAGGCACTTAAACTTTCGTTGCGATCGAACGCTTTTTGCGCGAGCTATTCGCGAAAAACGGAGAGGGTCTGTTCGACCACCTCCCCTGTAAGTGTGAGGGTTGACATGGGACAGATTGATTCGACGTCGATATCGGTCTGATCGCCCCATGCCGTCCACGATAACGGGAGTGGGATGGACGTACTGGTCACATGTACAGGGTGTTTCACTAAAAGTGTCAAAAAGTAAAAGGTCATAATGCACATAAGAACAATGTTTTCTAAGGAAAGTTGCATATCATTTCATCCGCAATTGTTGGACATTTGAATATATAACAACGATATCACCGTCACTCAAACCTATTCCACATATCCGCCCCTTCTTTTGATGCACCGTTTCGGCACGTGTCCGGAGGTGCCTCACAGCCCGTTTTCATATTCAGCGTCCAGACTGTCGGCAAAGCCTTGAATTGTGCTCTTCAGCTCCCAAAGTGATGCGACTTGAGTCTTCCTCAGCTCTGCGAGAGCTACTGAGTCACTGACCAGAACCAGAAGTCTAGCGGTGACAGATCGGGGCTTCGCGCTGGCCATGGGGGCGGGCGGTGAGGCAGCTGATTATTTGGCCCAGGAACTTCTGGTCCATCCAGTTCCTGGTGGCTACAGCCGTCACAGTTGTTTTTGATAACTTGTAAGGCTTTGGCTATTTCTGATGTTGAAATTAGCTTCTTGTTATCTTCAAAGGCCCTCAAAAAGACCCTGACCTTTCAAACGGTTTCCGCCGAGAGGTGGGGGCGACCCCGCCTTTTTTGGACTAGAACTGGCATCGAAGGAGCCCTTTTAAACCTCTTAAGAAGTCCTTTTAAACTTTTATAATCTGGAACGTAGCGAGGTGAGAGAGTAAAACGTTTCCTGAAAAGTCGGCATACGGTTTCAATGTTTCTGATGGCACCAAATGTAAGTGTAATTCACCCCTCCTGTTGAGGTGTAAACAGCCTGTTCTTGATCTGTGTAAGGAAAAAACGACTAGTAACTTTGGCCTCCTGCCCTCGCTCCGTATGGGTGTAAAATACATCTTAAATGGACACAGCATAAATGTCCAAAAATTTGCAACAAAGCCACGTGCGCAACCACGTGATTTGCATATTTTATATATCTTTAATAAGCATTTACTTTTTGACACTTTTAGTGAAACACCCTGTAGTACATACCTACATCTCGGGTCACATGCACCTTATCAGATAAGCAGCTCTTGTACCGTGGCCGCGACCCGAGAGATAGGAAATACTCCGCCCTAAGTATGGGTCGCTTCGATACTCCTAGACGTCATACAATGCATGTTATGTAATTTATCACATGTTAGTCTGGCAGCGAGACGTCGCACCGTGTGGGGTCAATGTGTTTTCCAAGGAATCATCACTGGCGCCTTGGGTAGGATCTGGGAAGTACATTCGCAGTATGCTAGATTTAATGGAGGCTTTCCACACTCCATCTGCTTGAGTGGGATTTAGCCCCCAAGCTCCGGGTGCATTCATCTGACTGATATTTCTGAACTGATGCTAAAATTCTGTCTGAAGTGCCACATTCGGTGTGGGAGAGGTAACTTATTCAGTGTGTTTGTACACTTCTCATTTGTACGAGTATATACCTACATTTAATCAAACCAAAACGTTCGGACCAAACATGAATTAATGGTGATTATAAACAACTTTTCTTAGGTGTAGGTATTTAAGCGTATGATTGTAATAAGCGCGTACTGCGTTGCGGCTATGTCGCGGTCGCGGTGACGCGTTGTGTCATGACTCATGAGTCATGTGTGTGTGTCTGCCTATAACCGTAACACCCCACCGTCTGCCTGCAGCCGAGACTCTGATCACGCGCGACTGTCTGAGCGCCCTCCAGTGGAACCGTCGCGACGTGCCCGCCGACCACTACGAGGGCTGCCGGCCGGCCGCCGAGGACCCGCGCCTCGGACTGTACACCTTCAACAGCCTGCAGGAGCTCGACACCAGAAGGTGGGCGTTCAGAGCTGAGAGATTCGAGTGTTGCGAGGTAAAGAGACTGGATAATCTGGCGATTTAAACTGCAGTACTTACCTGAAATGTAGGAAGAATATAATTAACCTGAAATGGAAGTAAAGACGATCTTCTGACACCAGCCCATTACTTGTTCGAGGGAGATTTGTGACCTGAAATGTGCAATAACGAGCTTAAATTCCTTCTTTACGAACTACGAGTTACAGCACCTGAAATATAATTGAAAACTCGTGGTGATTCTGTAAGGACGACGAGCCTGACTGCCTCTTGTTTCAGGAACTACTACGACAAAGTGGAGTACTGCTTCTGTCAGTACGACGAACAGTGTAACGGCGCGGTCGGCGTCTCCGTGTCGCTCGGGGTTCTGGTGACGCTGGCGCTGCTGGTTAACATGCTGTAGCGCCGGACGTGCGCCCCCGATACGTCCTCTGTGACCCAATCGATACAGGCGCCCTCGGACCGTCCTAAGCTCGATTGAGACGCCGCCTGGCCGTCAACATCGGTACTACAGCCGTCCCCGACTCGCAGTGATGGTGCGGCCAATGCGGCATCCCCTCCCCCAGTGTGTGTGTGTGTGTGGTTGGGGGTTGGGGTGAGGGTAGGGTATGCTCCTGGCGACCAGCCTGCCACACTGTATGCCGCACAGTAGGTAGTCGTTTTCGGAGATGTCTTCGAAAACTGTTTCCGTCCGTGGAGTGTGCTGTCTTACAGTGAAGTGTGATGCTAAGGTAATATGCTGATCTGAGCCGATTTGACACAGACTGCCTTTGGGGAGGTCATTCTGCTTCCGTCCCCCGGTAGTTGTATTGTATTTAGCGTTTGTACTTCGTAGTGCATCCGGCAGCGTTGTGAAGGTCGCATCGGGTGGCCCATTTTATAGCGCGACATCGTAGGCTCATATTACCTTTCAGAAGCGACGTAGAATCTCGATAGCTGTAGCGTACATTCCAGCGCCGTTTGCGCCACCAGAGTATTTTTAGAATATCTTGTAAGGCTGTCCCCTATTGTACAGGTCAGCTGTGGGAACCCAGTGAAGGTTTGGCCGGCCGGCGTGCGTCGGTGGGATCACATTGCTTCTGCCACTCCGTCCATCATCGAGAGTCTCATTGTAATTTGATCGCTATTTACGCATCACTCATATGTACGTGATCGTGTATCATGCATTAGCACTCTGTATATGCTTGCTACAAAGCATTTTGCCCGTAACGTTTCATGCGCACAATGCGTTGAAGTGACGAAAAATATCGATTCCGCGGTATCCGTGAACGACATGTTCGTTCTGTGTTATCGGCGTATGTTATGATAGCGTTGAGTGGGTCGTGCTTCACGCTTACCATTTGAAAATAAAACCTTGTATCGAATGCTTGCTGCTTTCTTGCCTGGCGCTTTGCGGTGTCATTTGTGGGTCGTGTTAATCCACCGTTACGTTCAGTCTCGATTATTGTCATGATTTTTGGCGCCTGGCGACACTCCCCTAATGTATGCTCTGTGTCAAGCAAGCCCCTGCTGATCGGGCGGAGTCAAGGAACCGATTACTGATTAGCGTCAGCCATCTGTAAGAATATCTGCCAAAGTTCCGGAATCCGGGTGCATGCAAAATAAGGCTGCGAAGAATGCTATATATGCGCCTTTCTATAAGCCACCCTAGTCTTTAGGTGTCTTACTAGGGTGCCTTATACCTCTATACGTGGCCTTGCTTTTATACCCTAGTCTTATTTCCATGGATGGTGAGCCTAAAGCAATTTGGATTATTTGTATTTGTATTTGTATTTAGCGATCCACATGCAAAGTGCGTGGCGATTATTGCTCAGAATCCGATTATGCACTAAGGTTCGAATTAGTTTATGCAACATAGCTCTTCCGGCAGCGGCTGTTACTGATTTGTGGAATGGGACCGTTCAGTGAATGGGACAAATAATTCGCATACGGGTTTGCATCTCTAATAATTTGCACCTTTATCTCATTTAACTTGATACTGATCGCCTATTGGACAAGCTTCGCACAGGAATTCTGCTTACGAAGAAAACGAACACGTCCACGGGATTATTTTGCTTGCTTGTGCCTGGAGCTTGAGAACGACACGGACTGATAATCAAGATATGGGTTTTTGTGCCTGAAATAAACTGATTTCTGCGCCATGGACTATTAAAAAGATTTCAGGATACCTAAGAGAAGTGGTTTTAGGCTGTATGAGTGGTTTATTCTTTGGGAATGGTTCATTAGTGCTACCCAATGCTGCTTCACTTCACTTGCTTGGCTTTTATCCACTTCAACTTACTTTTTGAAGGTTTATGCTTAATTTCCTAGTATTGCCTTCTTATTTGATTGTGGATTGTTTGTGAATATCTGCACTCTGGTATCAAGCTTATCATGACGTCTACCAGCCCCAGAACAGTTGCGTATTTTTATGATTCTGATGTCGGCAACTTCCATTTTGGTAAGTTTCTTGTTTGATGTGATGTTTTGCTGACACATTTTTGCAACTTTACAGGATATCCTGTCATTACATACCTAGCAGAGCCCAGAGGCCAATTATGCTGTGTCATTCCCCTTTCTTTGCTCCCCAGACAATAGACTCGGAATGTCCACTCTGACTGTCCAAGTCCTGTTGGTATTGGGTGCTCTCATTACTCATAAAGCTACTGATCATACATAGATTTGTCTGTGAATCAGTGCTGTAATTGGTGCAGTTTTTGTGCAGACTTTTGTGGTGTGGTTTCGTATTGACATGCAGATTTAAAGATTGGTTTGCTAGCTGTGATACCTACTATGGAAATCAGACTACATGATTGGTGTATTCACAAACTGTAATAGGAACCTATTTTAATTGTGTCACAATCTGGTTTACTGTTGTCAGGGCCCAGCCACCCGATGAAGCCTCATCGACTGGCTGTGACTCACAGTCTGGTGCTCAACTATGGCCTCTACAAGAAGATGCACGTGTACAAGCCCTACCGTGCCAGCAGCCAAGACATGGTACGATTCCACTCCGGGGAGTACATCGACTTCCTGCAGAGGGTCACGCCCATGAACATCCACAGCTTCAGCAAGAGTGCCACCCACTTCAATGTTGGCCTTGATGACTGGTGAGTTTGCTGATGGTGATCAGCTCAACAGTAGGTACTGCAATTACCAAGTGGATATTTAAATAGAATATACTACATAGATAAGATCAGAGGTGGGCATCGCTACCGAAAATTGGAAACCGCTACCGCTACCTTCCGCAACCTGAGGTACCCAAAGCGCAATCGCAACTCCGAAACTATTTTGCAGATAGTAAAACCGCAACTCGCAACTCCGCAACTCCGCAACTCCGATACCAACCTCTATTAGGACATTAGGTTCCTATGTTTTATCAGTTTGAGTCCTGAAGCGCAGTGTTATGTCTGACAGGTACCTTTGGACAGGTACCTTTGTACTACCTTGACCTTTGGTTGACCTCTGTTGGTGACCTGACTGTTGGTGACCTCTGATGACGTCACGTGACCTCTAATGCTCAATGCGCAGGTCATTGCGACACCAGTCGACTTAACCCTCGCCCGTATTGGTGTTTTTCCAGCCGCGAACGTATAAGGGGGGGGGGGGTCCGTTGGACCCCCTTGCCGTTTCGCCCCTGATCGAGCTAGAGCTTCGCGGAAAAAACGAGCGTGTTGCCCGTGACGAGAGGAAGCCGATGATACCCAATTTTAAGGTCCTAGGTCATCGGTTGACCTTCCAGGTCAGGTCAATGACCCAAAAGTCGGGAAAATCGGGCCCTGTTAGAAAGTTGTAAAGCGTGGCTGCTATGGGGTTTTTCGGGGTGCTGCTCACGAATATCATGTAAGTTTTGATCACAGATGATGTTTTCATGCATTTAGGCCAGGTCGGGTCAGGTCAGGTCAGGTCAACCAGTAAGGGTATTCGTAGTAGGTGGCCACCGCCTCAGACAGCTTCGTAACATGTTACGAAGGCACCAAAACTACTTCGTAAATGTTCATATGGTTGCTAAATTCGAATTCAGCTCCAAAAACTGGCCTAGAAACATGTAAAACTCGAAAAAGTGAGCCGAGGTCATCAAAGGTCAATGACCTGACCTGACCTTCCGGTGACCTTGACACCCACCCTTATGCATGGGAGCAACATCATATCCCATGTTTGAACGCTTAAAACCACGAAAAGACTGCAAACGCGCGGCTAATGCGAGCCGACATACACCGAATCGCGATTCCGGCCAAACATGGTCTCGAAAAGTAGGTCACAGGTCAAAGGTCATTAGGGTCAAGGTCATGAAAATTTCAGGGTAGGTGTAAAATTGATTAACGCGAGGGTACGGAAAGTTTCGTCCGCGATCGGCCGCTTTTTACGCGAGTTATTCGCGAAAAACGGAGGGGGGTCCGTTCAACCCCCCCCCCCCTATACGGGCGAGGGTTAACCCTCGCATGTGTGCGGCGTTTGCCAGCTTCTAATGTGTAGGGTGGGTGGGGGGTCGGTTGGACCCCCCCCCTTGCCGTTTGGCCCCTGATCGAGCTAGAGCTTCGCGGAAAAAACGAGCGTGTTGCCCGTGACGAGAGGAAGCCGATGATACCCAATTTTAAGGTCCTAGGTCATTGGTTGACCTTCCAGGCCAGGTCAATGACCCAAAAGTCGGGAACATTGTACCTGTTAGAACTTCGTAAAGTGAAGCTGTTATTTTTTTTCGGGGCGCTGATCTACCGCCTATCCAGTAGTGTCAACCACCACTGAAATATTGTAACATGTTACGAAGGCACTAAAACTACTTCGCTAACGTCCAAACGGTTATTAAATTCCAAATCAGCTTCAAAAACTAGCCTGGAAACACGTGCAGTGTGCAGTGCAGTGCAAAGGGTGCAGTGGCGCCCCCACCGGCGGTGGCGGCCCCGGTAGCGGTTGCGCTTTAGAATTTTTCGCTTCCGCAACTCGCAACTCCGCACCTTTTTTGGGCTCGGTAGCCGATCCGTAACTCCGCTACCAAGAGGGTAGTCCGCAAGTTGCGGAGTTGCGGAGTTGCGGACTTAAGTTGCGCAATGCCCAGCTCTGGATAAGATATGCCTAAATGAAGGAGTTTTGCATTAAAGAGGTCATTTTTCTTTCATTGTGCCTAATTTTCAAGTCATTTGGTAATTGCTGGGCCACAAAGTCAGTTTATTTTTGTGTTTGATATATGTTATATGTGGGCTTTAATATTTTGAAAAGAATTGCAATATTGCTCAATTTCAGTTTGACCTGTGTGAGATAATCAGCAACATTTGGCTTGTAAATTTGTTTTTATTGTAACTGTTATCTTACCATGCCTTCTGGACATGCCAACTTTGTATTTCTACACTTTTTTCAGTCCCGTTTTTGACGGTCTGTACGACTTTTGCTCGATGTACACGGGCGCTTCTCTGGATGGCGCCACCAAGCTGAACCACAACACGTGCGACATCGCCATCAACTGGTCGGGCGGTCTCCACCACGCCAAGAAGTTCGAGGCCTCCGGGTTCTGCTACATCAACGACATTGTCGTGGCTATCCTGGAACTACTCAAGTGAGCTATTCATACCAAGTGCTGTGTATTTGCACAGTGATCAAGGTTCTATGAACCGAAAGCTTTGTGTGCCTTTTTGAATACATTTGGATGCATTTGTAATAATTTGGTTTATTATTTACATCATCATCCAACCTGTCATGGATACTCAACAACCATGAATTCTGAAACATGTCACGGAAATCCCAGCTCGGTCTTCGTATCATATTTCTTGCCACGTTGTGGTGGAAATAACGCGATAAGCCGCCGTGAGTCGGGAGCTGAGTTGTCAGGACGTGAGTTTGACATACTGTGCCTCACCTCTGACCCGGCCCACCGACGGCGCTCCTCCAGGTACCACCCGCGGGTGCTGTACATCGACATCGACTGCCACCACGGCGACGGCGTGCAGGAGGCGTTCTATCTGACGGACCGCGTCATGACCCTGTCGCTGCACCAGTACGGCAACGGCTTCTTCCCCGGCACAGGTCAGTCAGTCAAATGGAAACTGAGGGCCACTGGGGCTAGGTATTGGGCGGGAGACATGACCAGTCGAGAGGGTGGGCGGAACGGCGAGAGCCGCTGATGGGAGGGGGTACCGGCCGCTGTGTCAGGCTTAGTGCAGACGACAGCTTTGTGGGCGTTCGTGATCGGCAATAGGAATTCAACCTGAAGGGATTTTCAAAACCAGCCTAGTGCTATGTAACGAACGAACTATATCTCACGCTTTTATCGATACCAACGCGCATCAAACTGAAGAGCTGTGTAATGTATATGTAACAGTCTAAGTTCGACCGCTGACCCATCTGCGTTCGTTTCAGGCGACATGTACGAGCTGGGCTCGGAGGCCGGCAAGTACTACTCTGTGAACGTGCCGCTCAAGGGCGGCATCGACGACCCCAGCTACATGCAGATCTTCAAACCCGTCATCACGGTGAGACAGGCGCTCCGCCGGTCTGGCTGTTTCGTGAGAGCCGTGAACGGGATTTTCAGTCTGTGGTTGTCGAGTATAACCGTCCGTTCTTTTACAGTCTGATGGAGTATTGCCGGCCGTTTTACTCGGTGACGGAATAATACTCTTCGTTTTCAGTCTGTGATGGAGTATTACCGGCCGACGGCCATCGTGCTGCAGTGTGGCGCCGACTCTCTGGCTCTGGACCGACTCGGCTGCTTCAACCTCAGCACCCGCGGACACGGGTGAGTGTCGGACCACGGGACCAAGCGGTTCACTGGTCGCTGGTCCACAGTGGACTGGGCCGATACCGGACGGGGTGATCCTATTTACTGTTGTGTATGGTGGAGACAGATGAACTTAACTGCACTTAAATGTTCCCCACTATTGGGTTACCTATGCTATGTCTTACCCATTACCATGTCCCTTTGCTTGTAGCTGTATCTGACTCCACCTCCAAATGATGTCTGACGTCTGCCCGCTCCTTTGTCCGGTTCCACAGCGAGTGTGTGAAGATGGTGAAGGACCTGAACGTGCCGACCCTGGTGCTGGGCGGCGGCGGCTACGTGCTGAAGAACGTGGCGCGCTGCTGGACCTACGAGACCTCGATCCTGGTGGACACGGAGATCAGCGACGAGCTGCCCTACACCAGTCAGTGAACGGCGACAGACCGACCTAACGGGGCTATATAATTTATTACTTTTACTTGCAGACATTTCGGTTGAAAGATTCATGTGGGCTGGGACGAATGAGAAGTTTTCATTTGACCATTTTGGAGCTCTCGTCAGAGCGAAACCAGTATTAACGCGATCCCCTATCCATGATTGTTGATAGCTAACAAACGTGCCTGTCAGGTGTATAAAACAAGGGAAATTTGTCAAGGTAATTTTACTTAATTTTTATAGAAGTCATAAGTCCGTAGTAAACACGAGACTGTACATAAAGGTCGACTTATCACTCAGTCGATTTCATTGGATTTGATCGATTAATTGCAACATAGCGATTCTCGCGCACCTATGACATCGGCGGACCGTTCACAGCGTACTACGAGTACTTTGCGCCGGACCTGTGTCTGCACGTGGACAGTATCCCGCGCCAGGAGAACGGCAACACCAAGGCCTACATCGAGAGCATCATCCGCACCACACAGGACAACCTTCGCATGGTCGAGTTCGCTCCCAGGTCAGTGTGGTGTTGACGTCCAGTGGTCGGTGACCGGCGACTAGGGTCAGAGGGCGAGCGAGTGCCGGGGGTGCTACAGTTCAGTGTAAGAGAGGCCCGAACTATTGACAAACTTATGTGTTTGTCTCGATACTAGGTAGTTGACAATCGCGGGTCATCTTGAATATGTCGCGATGTTTACCTGACTAGTTAGCTGCCGCAAAGCGCTCAACTGGCTCCCTTTTGTAAACCACAGCTGAACCCCATCGCCCTCTCTACGTCCGGCAGCGTTCAGATGCACGAGCGGCCACCGGACTTTATCAAAAAGGAAGAGGACGAGGACATGAAGAACCCCGACGAGCGGGAGACGGAGGAGGAGGCGAATGCCAGGTGCGGTCCGACACACTGGGCCGACTGGACGAGCATGGCTGCTTATCGGCCATCTGTGTCACGTTGGCTTCCCTGTGCCTTTGTCAATATCTGTAGCATGAAAAAGACAATCAGCGTATCAGAATGTCCTCATGTTCTGTTCCCACCCTTTTTGTTTCCGAGTGTCTTTCCATCATCCAATAATTCACGCCGTATTTACTAAGTTCTTTCGGTAATCGGTATCTCTTGATCCGCCTCGTATTCACTCGAACCACTCTCGATTTCAGGGTGGAGCCCGAGAACGAGTTCTACAACGGGGAAAAGGACAATGACCAGGACGCCACCTCGAGAACCACGTGACTCGCTCCGTCCGGACGGACTGTAAAGTGAGCGTGTCACGTGACCGTGGAGGTCGGCCAGGGCTACGACGTCCAGCGGATGGCCTCCGTATAAGTGTATTAAGATCTCTGATAAGTGAGAACGGGTCGCCCCGTGGAGACGTGATGTGAAGTGTGATCTGGCGAAGTCGCCAGTGTCCCCGGACTCTGAAGCCGTGTGCCGATACTGAGTGCTCGATGAGGTTGGATGGACCGGCTCCGTGGGTTGATATCGCCCCCTGGCGGCCTGCGGTTGACTGGTCGGACACAGCGGCGACAGAAGCGCTTGGTGAATTGTCATACTGTGGCAACTGCGACATAAGGAGTATAAATGACTGTTAATGGTCTGTCGCGACTTGGGCATCTCAGTCATGTGACCGAACTATGTTGGATAATGAGCGGAGTGTTCCGACGATCTGTGCTCATTTTATCGTGGTTGACCGCGCTGGAAGTTAGCAAAGTATGTTACTTTTGCACAGTCCCTGGCTCGAGAAGCGCCGCTGACGCCGAGAACAGGCAGTCGAGCGTTCTGTCAGTTGATCGGCGTGTGTCGGTATCTATTGACTTTGTACCTGTGGTGTGGTGCGTCCGAGTTCTTTTGACTCGGGTCATCGTCATTTCCCATCTCTTGGCCCATCAGCTTGTTATGTAATAAAACCGAGCTAAAAACTGGAGAAATTGGTATTCGTGATTCGACACAACGGTACGAACAGTACAATGATTGATGTTTAGTCGCCGCGTATGGTACAATGGACGCAGGAGGCATTTTTGAGCAATGAACTCCGCGAATCATCACGCTTTGACCCAGACCCTTGCCCGAAATACCCCCAGCATGCCCCACAAGTTGTAACTATGAGTAGCAGTGTGTTCCGAGGCGACTTACTTGGTTTAATAAATAAATAGGCGTCGGCCTGCGGTTAGGCCAGCGCCTGACACACAGCCGGGCTTACCTAGCCACCAGACAGTGGCGGGGCGCAGGCACCCTCTGAGAGGAAACCCAACGAGCGTTAGCACCTAGAGAAAGCTACCCTCCAGGGCAACCACAGATCACTTGTTTATCGACAGATACATTTTGCCCTTGATGGTCTGCTTGTTGGGGTTGATCTTCTTGAGGATCTGCGCGATGACTGGCACGAGTTGATCGGACGAGAGGCCGACCTTCTTGCTTTTGAACTTTTGCAGCAGTTCGGTGGTGGTCATGGGTCGTCGTGTCAGGTATCGGCGCACGGCCTCCTCCGTGATACCCGTGTCGCTGCCGGGAGGGACACACGGTCAGATAGAGACGGTCAGATGGTCAGAAAGGGACGGACAGACGGTCAGATAGAGACGGTCAGATGGTCAGACGAACGGCCAAACAGACACTGGTCACTCAGATGGGGTAGGGACGGACAGACGGTCAGACAGGGACGGCTATGGACGCACAGGAACAACACTAGCTAACCTCCGCGATACCCGTGTCGCTGCCGGGACGGACACAAGGTCAGACAGGGCTGGGTTGAAAGGAATAGACAGGCACGGTGCCAGAACAACGGTACGGAATGAGACTGAGATTTGATGCTTGATATTATGAATAAAGAGGGCCAGAGAATAGAAATAAACGAAGATGCGAAACGCTGTCACAACGCACTATATCAATGAACACGTTCCATTGCTTGTATTTCTAACGATTTGTCAAAAAAAAGTTGTGGTCATTAGTCAGAATGTAGAGATCAGATAGTTGCAATGCAAACAGGTTGATGGATATTGCTCAGACAACCGTAGGCCAGCCCGCGGCGGCGTGGGACGTGCTCCGTAGGATGGCACCCGAGTCGCCTGCCAGTCACCCACCTGGCCACCTGGGGCGACGGCACCGGCTCCAGCTTGGCCCTCTTGGCCACCATGGCGGCCGTGTCGTCCGGCTTGCGTTTGACGCCACCGCCGTCGGCCCGGCCGCCGGTGGGCGAGGGCCGCTTGGCGCCCGTCAGCGTACCATTATCAGCCGCCTTCATGTCGTTCAGGATCTTCTCGGCCTTGGAGGGTGCCGGGGGAGCGGCGGCCGCCGGACCGGCGCCGGAGCTGCGCGCAGGGGTGGAGTTAGATGGGGTAGAGGCAGATCAAGCACAGTCGCACACGCACGACAGATCCACAATCATATAACGGCATTGCTCAACACTCATGGCCCTAATTTAGCGCCATCTGTGCATTTTAGCACGCTCGACGTCGGTCTGAACAAGGCGGTCTGAATTCATGGCGGTGATACGAATGAGGGCAAAATGGTTGGTATGGTAGTGGGCCCACAATGGCAAAAAAGAGAGCTGCTTAACGCGCACCCGGCACCTGCGTCCTCAACCAATTATATCTAAGCAAATAGTGAAAAAGATTAAGAATCTGCTTCGAACAGGAAGGTGTTACGCGAGGAAAGACTAAAAAAGACCTTAAACTGACGATGTTCGAGCATCACAATGGTTCGATGAGAACGGCTACATCTAAAAAAGGTGTGTGATGGGCATGCCATTCACTTACCCCTCAGTCTTGACTTTGGGCGCCGCCTTCTCGTCCTCCGAACTATCGGCGTTATCGCTATCGCTGCTCTTCTCCTCTTTCTCAACCTCCTTCTTCTTTTTCTTCTTCTTGCTCTTCTTCTTTTTCTCGGGCTGCTGGTCTTCCTCCTCCTTCTTCTTTTCCTCGTCTTCGTCGCTCTTTTTCTCCTCCTCTGAGGATTCCTCGACCTCGGCGTCCGAGTCGAGCAGCCGTTTGAGCGCGTCCTCCTGGTCCACTCCCTTCTCCTCGGTGACGGGCTTCAGCTCGTCCTCGCTGGAGAAACAATAGCAAGGTCACAAGCTAGTGTTGCGATGCAGCAGTACAACCGAAGGCCTATCGTCAGTGAGGTAGTACCGTCGCATTGCAGCGGCAGTGAGCGAGTAGGAGAGGAACACCGAAAGGAAACGATGCAAAACCCACAACAATACGCATGAGGGCACATGACAGAGAGCAGGACACGTTTGTACAGCCTCCAGCCCTCCATCGCCCCGACCGAACTGCAAGGTTTCCGTCTACAACGCCTTCTACGTGGTCGGCAAACTCTAGCTGAATCGAAAGAAAAAAAAAGATTGGCGTGCTTATCCAGGAACTTACAATGTCGATCACCTGGAAGTGTGATTCCCATATATAGAAACTGGGATTTCCGGGCCATTCATTAGCTCTTTACAGCCGTACATACCTCTCTGACGAGTCGGAGATGTAGTCCATCTCCCTGCCCTCGTCGTCGCCGTCGTCACTGTCCTCGAACGCCTCGTCCTTGACGTTTGACTTCCGATTCTTCTTCTTCATTTTCTCTGTGGGCGCACATACAGAACGATATCAATACCAAAAGACGTCTTTAACAGATGCGAGACTACGAACAACGCAAAACTAAATTAAAAGATAGCCTAAAGGAACCCAGCATATCATTCAATGAGTCGGTTCCAATTATATAAATAACGCCACTATTATAGTTAATTTCTGCAACCTAAACGCGCTGAAAAATGTCAAACAACAAGCTGGTCAAAAACAAATGGAAAAGCTGTCGTTTAATAGCACCAAAAGAATATGCCAAAATGGCAGGGTTACCGAGCGGTTGTGGTAAAAGCACATTTCGACTTTGAGTGAAAGCAGCTAAATTATTGTCCAGCTTACCTTTGACGTCGCGTTTTTTCTTCTTTTTGCGGTCCTCGTCGTCGTCTCCCTCCTCTCCCGATTCGTCCTCATCCCCCTCGTCCGAGTCGGGCCACTCGTCCATATCAGTCAGTTTGAAATCTGTGCATAGAGAGAGAGAGAGGCGACAGGGCGTCACAACCAGGACGGTCGGTGGTAACTGGTAGCTCCCGCACCGCTGGGTCAACAGCCGAGTACCTGCCCCGCACGGTCAGAAGATGGCAGAAGTGAGACACACACAGTACACACACACACAAACATGTGTCTTCTGCCGGTGCAGACCGGTTTAGCACTGAGTATGTGTTACTGGCCGCCTGTATATGTATTTGGTACAGACCGGTGGCGAAGGTACTCGTGATCTCCAAAGGAACGGGATGTTGATCACTAAAAAATATCAAATTGATTGTCATCGGTTTTGGAAGACAGGGCCACTAACAGCTCATAAACCGTTCATTCCAAGCCACCTCCCTGTTTTTGAAGCTTGTGTGTGTAGGAGCGCTTTCACAGAAAAGCTGGATACTGCAAAAATAAATCACACAGCTTTGTGCAGTGTCAATCAACCCTTCTTGATGATGAACACGAAAGCGTTTCGCGGATGAGAGTTTGCAACAACGTGGGAAAGAAATCAAAGACTTCTTAGTCTGAAAAAATTGCGCCGAAAAGGCACCGTTCGCGTTTCACGGCGTCCGTTCCGAGAGTCAAAACGAAAACAAAACGAAAGTAAACACGACAAACATTTCAGCTATGTATTTGAAAGACACCGTTCGGCATTATCCGTCACCAGCAAAGTGGGTTAGTACGCGGGGCTATCGTTATAAATGACATATGTCGTTATAAACAACATAAGTAACCACAGACACCGCTGCTTCCCGTGACGTCCCTGGCCGCCCATCACCACAGTTCACGCTGCTTCCCGACCCGAGCAATCACCGCCTGCACTAGCAGAAGAAGTCCCAGTAGTCGCCACGGAGGTAGTCGCCATCGAAGTCGTTGTAGCTGCCCATGTAGCCACCCCAGCCGCCGGGCCGGTAGAAGTCAAAGTCGGAGCCCATGTAGTCGCCGTAGTCGCCGAACATGCGGTAGTTGGCGCGGAAGCCGGCGGCAGGGTGGAAGCCGTCGAAGTCGTCGCGGCGCATCATGGCACCGTACTCGGAGCGGTAGAAGTGAGCGGGGAACATGGCTGCAGGGCTGCGCTGTCGAGCTGACTGGCTGCTGACTGGGAGCTGGGAGGCTGTGTGACTGACGACGGCCGGTGGCGGCCTTTATACCCCGAACAGGGGTGTCGCCGGTGCGGTGTCACTCCGCTACCGGGATACGTGAGACGCCGGGGAGCTGGCACGCACGGAAAGGGGCCAGTTTTTGGGACCTGTCCGTCTCGGTAGCAGTCGCATGTAGCTCGACGAGTAACGCGATGCGTGTGATATGATACCAGGTCGGGTAGATATATGATAAGGGTGGCATTTCTTACAACATGTGAATCGGATCTTTACTTAAAATATATTTCAATATTTTGCTCAGCTATACCACAAATTTTCCATGCGTTTCATCCAAGTCCCAAGATGTCGGTTTTAGCGTGATGTCGTTCTGGAAAAAAAAAATGTTTGTGACATTGCTTAGCATTGGGTGAGCTACACTTGAACGGTGTCTCGAAAGACACGAAAACGCGGATGAAACGCACGGAAATGTCGTACCTACTCAGCTTACAGGGAAAATTTTTCGCTTTGACTACCGTTTTTTCCACGGATTGATCCCATTCTAGATATGACTAACCGGAATAAGGGCTGCCAGAGCCGGTTTATTTTGCCTAAAGTCGGGACCGGTAGGGTTCGCTCGAAGCACCAGCCCCGCACTATATTACTCGTTGTCTGAGCCAGAATACTTGAAGGGAACCATGCTTTGGAAACAACCTAATTTTTCACGGCTCCACATTTTTTTTTTTATAAATTTAGCTCGAATGTTTGAATAACTAGGCATATTGACATAGCCGGAGCCCACGCTAAGCAGAGCTTGTTGCGTAGACCCCGAACCCTACCGCCCGGTCGCGCAATTCCGGGTAACGGGAGAATTCAGATGACAAAGTTACTCGTGTCCATCAAAGCCGGACACGGCCTGTCCCACTCAATTGACTTCTCAACAGGCTGCAGCTGCCCCCAGCAACCGCAGACCATCCCTGCCAGGAGTCTCAAATATCGAGCGCCGGAGCGACTCGAATCCAGCCTCTCACAACCGAGATTACAACGCTCTACCAATTGAGCTACGGGACTGGACACATCTCTCCGTTGGTGAAAAAATACCCATTACAGCCATTGCTGTTACCATATTGCATAATACGACCTTCGAATTAACTAAGGTGTCGTATTCCATTGATAGGGAATATGGTAACCACATTAGAGGCAAACGTTTTCGAATCACCAATAGAGGGAATGAAGAAGAGATAACTATGTACATCATTTCCCGATAGGTACATTGTTCCCGAATTGAAGCAGATCATGACAGCACCCACCAGTGGGTAGTGAAAGGCGTGAAAGGGTTCCACACAAGGCTATAGAACTCCAGGTAAGGACACCAGCCGTTTGACCTTGAACGCCGCCGGCCGGCCGATGACGTCATTGGAGGCAAGCCGGCTCGGCGGACACACAATGCGAATGCATAACGGAGGGGCGTTGGAACGTTGCGGGAGCCGGGGAGATATTTTAATGTGGTTGTATACCACCATTGTTATGTTTATTGATCTACAGACTGCATTCTTTTAAACCTCGATGCACTCTAGGCCTGGATGGTTCGTACATTCGTGGAACGATCACCCCGTCCGAAGTCCGTGGTCGAAGCTGTCATAGTATTAAAGACACTAAGACGGGTGCAATAACGGCGATCCGATCCCGTCTCTGGCGAATCTAGAGGGGTCGTAAGGACCTAGGCCGAATCTGACCGTCTATTTTTAGGGAAACGGGGTGGGTGAATTGACAACCGATGGCTTAAGAGATAATGAGAAGAGATCCCGTCGTCGATTGTTGTTTGACAGACAACACATGTTGTACTGGACGTATGACCATCAGAGGTAATGCCTGAACGTAGGCAAGCATAGTTGTTCTGTCATACTGTTTAGGAATATAAAATGGTAATGGAGATTATTGAGGATATGATCTCTACATTACAGGAATTCGCTGATTACTACGGCCCATAGGGGCACCGCCGGAGCTGTTGTTTTGCCATCGGTCCCAGGCAACTCCAGGGAGCTGCAGTACCCGGCGGCCAAAGCGGCCCACCTCGTCGACTCGCAGGTCCTGTGGGATTCCGTGATGCTTTAGTGCTTCACCCACAGAAGCACGGGCATAGCAGTAGGATGTGGGGCTAGGTGTCTGTCCACCTCTTCATTGAAAGAACAACGTATACAGCGCCTGGTCCCGCCGAAGCTCGGTATCGACCGTGACTTATTCACAACTGGCGGATCCAGGAAGCGGTCTTGGACACTGCGGGGGCTTACCCCAAAAAGGTTTCTCGGAATTAATTAAAAAAAAAACTCTGATTTCGATTCCTTGCGCACTGCTGTGCAGTGTGATTAACCAACATTTCCTCAGAAAAGTTGTGAAGTTTTCTTTGATTCTCGAAAAGCGATTTCGGGCGCTGCCAATGTGGGGGAAGACATTTGCCCCAAATGCCTTCCCCTGGATCCGCCAGTGGGTTGCCCCACTCCGAGCTTGACTAAAACCATTTTCAAACCCCACCAGAAACCGATGGTAAGGTGAATTTAAATCCAATAACTCATCTCTGTCTGCCCGCCTAAATATGTATACAACACATGGTACGGCACCCGGCCCTGTCTGAGCTATGAGCCGATCGCGATATTTTCGGCTTTCCCCAACCCAAGCTCGATTAGGAACGTTCTCCTTCCCCACCCGATTGCTGATGTCAATTCAAATTCAATACCTCATCTCTGTCGGCCCGACCATAACCCATTCATTGCACACCGTTCAGCGCCCCGCCCCGCCAGAAGTATCCTAGCGCGCTGAGCAGTTGCCTCCAGCCGCGTCATCGCGAGGCCCCGCGCGGCCCATAAATTAATACATTGCGCGAATAGCCGTGTCGCCCCCCTGGTTCCACAGTACATTGCATGCCACGAGCTCCATATCTTCATCGGAATAGCAAACAAACATGGATAGCAGCAAATGCTATTTCTTGACCCGACCAGTTTTCAGAAATGCGCTTATTTTAGCTACTGAGTCAATTTGAATACCAAGGAGCGGTTGCACATCGGAAAATTCGCAGAAACGAAGCCAACAATACGACATAGACTAAAAACCGATGTTCTGTCATTGATTGAGCGGCCATCGTTCTTGAGAGAACGAACTTTTACCGGTTCCACTCACCACAATACGATGAGGAACAGCGTATCACGTGGCTGATTAGCACCCCTGCGAGACCGGGTAGTCGCTTATCGACACTGGTCGGTCGCACTAACCCTCGCAGTGCCTTCAGAAACAGAAAGGTCTCGTTCTAATAACGAGCAGCAAGTGATTGAGGAGAAAACATATGGATCAATTCAAATCCCTTTACGGTTTGAGAAGTAAAAGTGTGCACTGTGCACTGTGCAGTAGCACTTACCTCCACTCTTCTTTTTCTTTCCAGCTTTCTTCTTTTCATTTGCTCCTAACCCTTCGCTGTCTTCGTCCACATCCTCGTCGTTCTTCAGGCGCTTCTTCACCATAACCGTGAAGTAATTCATGATTTTATCACGCCTGAAAAAAACGGTAAATTTATCATCCACGCATAAAGGTGTTACCTACTATAATTCACAATGAGCGAACTGACTGATTCATGAGTGGCTCGAATACTGATAGCGCATGTTTGTTCCCTCTTTTTAGTCCCTTCCAGAGAATTTGCCTACGTGGGCAGCTGTGACGTCAACGATCAGAAACAGCATGCGATCCAAGCTTCAAACGGCCCTCTTTCAAAATTGCAGCCAAGTACGCCCCATTTCCCTCCTCACCAGTCCAAGTCTGTCATCGGACAAAACCACGCACTCACTTTGTGAACTGTTCCTCTGCCTCCTCGGCGGTGAGCGCCTTGTAGCGCTGCACGTGCTGAAAGTTGTACCACTCGGAGACGGGGCTGGCCTCGAATGCGCCGTCCTTAGCCTGCGTGAAGACGTAGTAGGAGGCGTTTTCCGTGACACTGCCGCCCCGCACGCCGCGGTACCTAGCGGGAGAGGGCGCACCGGACGTCAGAGGCTGGTAGACTGGGGGGTGGGGTCTGATGCGGGATGGGTCTGAAATGTGTGTCGGAGGCTGACAGTTATGGAAACTGACCAAGAATGGACTTGGTTTGTCCGTTAGAGGCTGGCGGTCCGGGGAACTGACCCGTGGGGCGAGGTGGGTCTGCGTAGTGTATCACATTCTAACCGTCCATTTTTTTCTTCCCGTCCCGTAGCCAACTCCGCCCCCGTCCGTGCACGGCTGTCGACTATCGATAATACCTATGAATCTATCATATAGTCGATGCTAATGAGCTCATAATGCATATGACAGAGCTGATGCTATGGTGACCAATATTGATCCTCCCAGCTTGTTGGTACTGACTTCTTGCCGTTCTTGCCACCGACTCGCATCAGCCAGGGATAGGAGTCCGGTTTGATCTTCTTGGCGACGATACCGAGCTTCTTGCGGCGGGCTTCCTCGCGCATGTCCTTGCCGAACTCACTCCCCGCACCAAACCTGACGAGCAGATATCATTTACAGCATCGTAATGAACAAGTCACACTTTGACACAAATCATACACTAGCAAGTGAAGGTTATAAGTAGCAACTAGGATCTGTTATAACTTGCAGGTAATAGGTGTTAGTTTAATTGTTTACATTCCTGATGTGCTGTATATGTATACGTAAATGTGCACGGTCTTGAGCATGCGCATGTGTCTCTGGTTTCCGCATGTGTTTGGCATGTGCATGTGCATCCCGCGCTATGCATCCCGTGCTATGCCTTACTCATACTGTCTTCATTTACCTTTCAGTTTGTGGTGGGGCTTAAATAAATGCACGCTCAAGAGATATTGATCTTTGTGAATTGAACATTGGTAGCAGAGCGTGGTTACAAGATGGCATCTAGAGATTTCAAAGCCCCACCACCTATGCGTCAAGATTTGCCATATTCAGAGTGGAAGCATGAGATCAAAGTGTGGAAAGCTTTCACTAGCTTGGAGAAGTCCAAGTTGGGACCAGCACTGTTCCTGTCCTTAAGTGGATCTGCCAGAGATGCAGCCCGTGAGGTGTCAATAGAGATTCTGAACAGTGATACTGGACTTGATGCTCTCATAGAGAAGTTGGACGAGTTGTTCTTGAAAGATGAGAACAATGCAGCCTTTGAGGCATATGATGCGTTCGAGAGATATGAGCGACCATCTGGCATGTCTGTGTTTGAGTACATCAACACATTTGAAAGACTGTATCAGAAGGCAAAGCACTACAAGCTGGAGTTGCCTGATGGTGTTCTAGCGTACAGACTCATTCGCAGTGCTAACCTTTCAGATGCACATCAACAGCTAGCAAGGGCAACTCTGCCGTCGCTCACATATGCAAACATGCAAACCCAGCTGAAGAAGATCTTCACAGACAGTAGTTCTCAGGGTGTGCCGTCAGCGAGAGTGGCAGTAAAAGTCGAGCCCGTGGATACAGTCGCAGAACCAGGGCTCGGCCAGGCGGCCGACACTCTCTTCGTTCAGCGAGGCAGAGCACAGAGTGTCGGACGAGGTTTCAACCGAAGAGGACGAAGTGGTGGACCGCGCTTCGCCTCACGACCGCCTCTGCGTGGCAGTGGGACTACCTGGACTTCACGTGGCGGCTCGAGAGATCCTGGATCTGCTGGACAATCCGCCAACCAGCGCACAAGGGCTAGATCTAGGCAGAATCCACGGGATTTAAGGGGTAATGTGACCACCTGTGCAGTGTGCAACTCTTGGTTTCACTGGGCCAGAGATTGCCCCGATCGCGGTGAGGTGTTCGAGGCGTCTGCTTGTGACGATGATAGCCATGACCCCACACAGGACGAGGAGGTATTCGTGACGTTGTTTGCGAGGGATACATGTGAAAGTGGACCAACTGAACGTTCAAAGACGGAGGGACTGCTGGGCGAAACACTAGGCTATGGTATCATCGATAGTGGATGTAGTAAGACCGTGTGTGGTGAGGTGTGGTACAAATGTCACTTGGATGCCATGTCTTCAGATGACGCGGAGCGAGTGGTAGAGGAGCCCAGCAGCACAACGTTTAGATTTGGGGATGGTGAGAAGGTTACTTCTCTAAAGAAAGTAACGTTTCCAGCACTGGTAGCCGGTAAGACGGTGCGCGTGGCTGCTGATGTGGTTCCCTATGAGATACCTTTACTCCTCAGCAAGGAGTCGCTGAAGAAGTGTGATGCGCTGCTAGATTTTTCCCGAGACACGGCGGTACTGTTTGACACTGAGGTCAAGCTATCTGTGACCTCAAATGGCCACTACATAGTACCTGTGGCGAAGTTTCATGTCGGTAGTGTGAGTGCCAGGCAGGACATAGAGCAGGTACTTTTTTGTTCAAAGTTTGAGGGTGCCAACGAGAAGGAGCGCATGCAAATAGCTAGGAAGTTGCATCGTCAGTTCGGTCATCCTAGGAGTGTGAAACTGCAGTCCCTGTGTCTTGATGCTGGCGTCCAGGACAAGGATTTCTTTCGCATGCTTGTCTCAGTGGAGGAAACCTGTGATGTATGTAAGAGGTATAGGAGATGTCTGCCCCGACCAGTGGTTGGTTTTGGGATGGCTCGCGACTTCAATGATGTCGTTGCGCTGGATCTAAAGCAGTGGGGACCTGGAGTATGGTTTTGCCACATGATAGATCTGGCCACGAGGTACAGTGCGTGCGTGGTAGTGAAAAACAAAGACAAGCAAACGATCCTGCGTGCAATCATGACTGAGTGGATAGCTAGGTTCGGGGCACCCGGTCAGTTCTTGTCTGATAATGGAGGTGAGTTCAACAATGAAGAGTTCCGAGAGATGGCCGAGGCGTTCAACATACGCGTGCGGACTACTGCTGCAGAATCCCCTTGGTCGAATGGGATCAATGAGAAGTACAACGGTATCATCGCCAGCACAGTGAAGAAGGTGATGGATGACACTCCATGCTCTCTCGAGGTTGCTCTGGCTTGGGCTGTGTCAGCCAAGAACTCTCTTGAGACTCACCTGGGATTCAGTCCTAATCAGCTTGTGTTTGGGCGAAATCCGAACAACCCGGCGTGTCTCCATGACAAACCTCCGGCTCTGGGACCTCCTTCCGGAAGTGATTTGGTGAGGACACACCTGAACGCCATGCATTCTGCCAGGCAGACGTTCATTCAGAACGAGTCGAGCGAGAAGTTGCAGAGAGCACTTCTTCACCAGGTCCGTCCCAGTGGTGAGAGGTTTTGCTCGGGTGATGTCGTCCTGTACCGACGTCACCAAGATGACAAGTGGCGAGGTCCAGGTGTCGTCATTGGACAGGAAAACAAGCAGATCCTGGTGAAACATGGCGGCGTGTACTACAGGTGTCACACAAGCGCTGTCGTGCGCGACACAAGTGAGCCGCGGGAACTGACAAAGCGAGGCCGGATGTCAACTTCGGATCCGGCTCCAGGGACCCAGAAGTTGGAGAAGATCAGTAGTGCTCCGATCCCGGAGTCTGCTGAAGACTCCGATGATGATGAGCAGAACTCCAGGTCTACTTCGTGTACGGTGTCTGGGGACGCAAGACAACGCCAGTTGGTGACGGTATCACCCACTGGCGGTCTGCAAGATGTCGAAGGCGGCTCTGGTTCGGAACCCGGATCGCTAGCTCAGGCTACCAGAGAGTCCAATGCCATGGACAGTGATGGTGGCTCTGGTCCGGAACCCAGTTCGCCAGCTCATGCCACCGGAGATTCCAGTGTCGTGGTCGGTGGTGGCGTCGTCGTTCGTGACAAACCCTCGATACCTCGCGCTAAGTCGCGCATTACCTATGTTCTTCGTGATTCCTCTGATTGGAAGAGTGCCACAGTCCTGAGTCGTGCTGGGAAAGCCAAAGGGAAGTACAAATCCTTTTTGAATGTTCTTGACGATGGTGATGAAGTTGGCAAATGTGTAGACTGGCGGGATGTTGATGACTGGAAGCCTTTGAATCAAGACGTACTGGTGTGCACCTCGGATGACATCATGGCGGCTAAATTGTGTGAGTTAGAAAACTGGGAAAAGAATGAGGTGTATTCCGCTGTTCCCGATGAAGGACAACACTGTATCAGCTGCCGCTGGGTGATAACTGAAAAAGGTAATCCTGATGGTAGCTCACGCATCAAGGCTCGACTTGTTGCCAGAGGTTTTGAGGAGGACACATCTGGAGTCCAGACTGACTCGCCAACGTGCGGGAAGGAGTCACTAAGGGTGGTGCTCGCCATTGCAGCCTCACAGAGTTGGAGCTGTCATAGTATCGACGTGAAGGCAGCGTTCCTTCAGGGTTCTCCTCTCGAACGCGAGGTGTTCTTGCGCCCGCCTTCTGAGGCTAACGCAGGGTCACATGTGTGGAAAATGAAGACGTGCGTGTATGGCCTGAATGATGCCAGCAGGTACTGGTACCTGCGTGTCAGACGGGAGCTCCTCGCACTGGGAATGGTGGCCAGCAAACTTGATGCGGCGCTTTTCTACTGGAGAGCTGAGGACGGCCTTGAGGGCATCATCACCTGTCATGTGGACGATTTCCTGTGGTGTGGTTCCTCAAGGTTCGAGAAGGAGGTGATCGAGAAGCTGCGGCAGGTCTTCCTCCTGGGTTCTGAGGAATCTGAAATCTTCAAGTACCTTGGGCTGCACATTCACCAGCAGTCTGATAAGGTGATCAAGGTTCACCAGATGCCGCAGTCTGAGGAGCTGCAAGAGCCAAATCTCTCACCAGAGAGGCGAATGCAGAAAGACAGTGAGCTCTCTCCTGCAGAGCTTACCCGCCTCCGTGGCGTGACAGGACAAATCAATTGGCTGGCCACGCAGACAAGACCAGATCTTTCATTTGATGTTTGTGATCTCTCTTGTTCCATTAGGGATCCAAAGGTAGCTGATCTACAAAGGGCTGCTAAGGTAGTTCGAAAGGCTCAGTCGGCGCGGGTTAGTCTGAAATATCCTCATCTGGACTTGTCACAGAGCTCGGTGGTAGTGTACAGCGATGCGAGTTACGGCAATCTTCCAGATGGGTCCTCGCAGGGAGGATACGTTGTGTTCCTTAGAGACAAAAGGGGAAGATGCGCGCCACTTGCCTGGTCTTCAGCAAAGATCAAGCGCATTGTGAGAAGTACGTTGGCTGCAGAGTGCATGGCACTTCAAGATGGTGCTGATGCAGCTGTCCTTTTGGCTGCGCTGATTTCTGAGGCACTGTATGACGGGTCAGGAGACATGAGTGTGATGTGCTACATAGACAGCAGAGGGCTGTACAGGGCACTGTACTCAACCAAGGCGGTGCAGGACAAGAGACTTCGGATTGACATAGCCAGGATTAGGCAGATGCTGGAAGTTGGCGAGGTGACCAGGGTCTGCTGGGTCGACAGTTCTCAGCAGCTGGCAGACAGTCTGACCAAGAGGACGGCATCTTCCAATGCTCTGTTAGACGTGCTGAAGACGGGTATTCTGTGAATCGGGTTAGGTGTCACTATGAGGATGACTACGGTATCGTTGTTGAAGGAGGTGTCGTTGAAGACCTGTTTTGTTGTGACTCGCGTATTGAACAAAAAAGATAAGGGGATGATTGTTAGTTTAATTGTTTACATTCCTGATGTGCTGTATATGTATACGTAAATGTGCACGGTCTTGAGCATGCGCATGTGTCTCTGGTTTCCGCATGTGTTTGGCATGTGCATGTGCATCCCGCGCTATGCATCCCGTGCTATGCCTTACTCATACTGTCTTCATTTACCTTTCAGTTTGTGGTGGGGCTTAAATAAATGCACGCTCAAGAGATATTGATCTTTGTGAATTGAACAATAGGTACTTCACATGACAACAAAAACTGCAGCATCTTACACTTTGACATCCAACACCTTGGATCAAACAAGAATGAAGCATGAAGAAGCACTTCTGGTATGATAAAAATGGCATTCCATTGAATTTCAATGCTTGATGTTGGAGTTCTCTCTACTTGAATGTCAAGGCACTGCCTACTCTTATTATGAGCAAATCTATGAAAGACGTTATGACACATGAGTAGTTATACCATGTCAGGAATGTGCGAAACTCTCATTGCTTGTAAATTACTCACTTCGGATCTTCCGGACCTGCATCAGCCTTGACTGGAACCTCGCGAACCATCTTCACCTGGTTCCACTTAGTGAAGTCGACCAGCAGCGAGCTGTTGAACTGCATCACACAGTTCTGCTTGTGCTGTGTCTTGGGCACCCGCACACTGTACTCCTGTACAGTTGTGCCAGAGGACGAGGAACCCTGAGGGAGCACCACAACTCATTTTAACAAAGTTTACAGAGGCTGAGCATGGAACGATTCAGGTTCCTAAGATACCTGGGGAAATGATACTCATTCATCACCCATCATGATCAATAGATTAAAAAGAAAAACATAAACTAAGTAGGAACTTATTAAATCATGACTAAAACAAAAAAATCAGCTCCTTCTCCACTGCCTGCTGCAGCTGAAACCTAATCATGTTCATCACGCAACTAAGCAGAAGTGCTGACAATATTGATGTGTTCTAGAAGTGAGGAATCAATAGGTTAATAGGTACTGAACAATTAACATAACGCCGACCAAACAGCACACAAATCCCGCAACCATAACAATAATGCACATAGAGGATTTAATCATTTGGATATAATTTTAATGCAATCTAAATGTGGCACCAGTATGCATGATGCTCACACTTACATGATTTCACCTACAAGCAAACTATTATCAAAACACATTCTAAAACATACCGGACTGGACATTGTCGCCAGTCTTGGTATTGGTATCCCTCTTCAACAGTAGATCAGTGCACAGTGTTGATCGAAAATTTGCCTCAAATTCGATTGAGTATCATAATCTAAAACTTTTCTGGACAAAAGTCATTCAGCAGGAGAATAGAAGGAACACAACTCCAAGCTCCAAGGCCTTATAATAAGTACACAACTCCACAGCTGTGTGTACTTGTGCTTGCAGCAAGGCGCTTGCAGCAGGCACAAACAGTGCCTCGCATGTTGCAATATGTTTGTGTTCATTTTACCAGAGTACGTATGCTATCTCAGCAGTATCTCGGATAAATTTGATTTCTCACCTAATTTAAAGGAAAACTAAGTGTTAATAAGTATTTGTTATCCAATTTAGTTCCAAACGTCACATATTTTTACTCAATTTTAGTCATAGATTAATAACTCAAAAGTGATATTAAAAGCTAATGATGTGCAAAAGAACACTAGTGATATGTCACGCCTGCGCCGTAACGATCGTCATGAAATATGAAAACCACCACTAAAATAAAACTACCGAATGCTATACTGGGACAAAATATGAGAGTGTGTGCAATTTGTTATTTTGAACTCCAAAGTGGAGTATGTGCAATGGATAAGATAACACTTTCTCTATTTATTTGCATGTTTAGGAGCTCAATCAGATCAGATCCCCAAAGGCCTTACAGGCTTCAAAATTTTGTAATGGTTAAAGGTTACTAGTTACTAGTTAGGAAGGTAAGGTTTGCCTCTTTGTCTATGCAATGCATCATGTCTGCAAGCCCTTGGAGCTGAGTAGAACTAGAAGCATAGGCGGCGGAACGGGGGTTGGGGGGCACCGGGGCACCCTGCCTCCTTTGATTTTTGCATTATAACATTAGCCCTACGGGCGTACTGCATGGAAATAATGGGACCAAAAGTCGGGTGCCCCCCTTAGTTGAAGGTGCATTCCCCCGCCACTGCCAAGAAGAGTTCCTCCGTGCGGGCCGTATCGATTTCTAACTTCATTTGAAAAACAATGCAAAATAAAACAATTGGATATCGGGCCGGGTTGTGATCTTGTTTTTATATTTTGCTTAACAGACTCAGCCATAACAAACATCAAATGACTACGCATAATAGCACTTCCCACAAGCTACGTCCGGCATTTGTCTGTAAAACGAGACAACCATGCAAAGTCCTACGACCTACTTCACTCGAGTTTCGTCTAAATGAATTCGGAAAACATTACGGAGCACAGCCAGATCTCAGCAGATAGTAATGGCAATTGGCAGGTGGCAGCGCATCAGGGCTGTGCTGGGTGCTCTCCCGGCGATGCACCGGCGTCTGACAGTTTCGATCAGCGCTTCAGGGCGACTAGTTCAGCTCCACATCTGAAATGTACCAATCAGCTTCAACAGATACATAGTTCCTCAAAATGATTATCATTATCAGCATACGAGAAGGTAAAGGTTTTGGCGGTTATGCTAACATAACAATTGTGACGGACACAATCATAATAAAGGAAGCCATTTCGTATAAATAAATCGTCGAAACAATTCAAGTCCCATTGGCGGAGATGCCAGCAGCACTTACCCTCTAACCGGCCTCCAGCTATTTCTGAGGCCCGTCTGACGGACATTTTGGCCTCTATGCGGTGCTTGTCCAGCGCAGGTCCCCACGTCTCGTCAGGTCGTGTCAGTCGCTGCAGTCTCTGCGGAAGAGTTTTATTGCATATCAAAATACCTTTTGACTATACCTTTAACTTTGACAAAATACTTTTTGATTATAGGTAATCACTGTACCGATGATTTTCAGCGATGATAAAAAACATACAGGCCGGTCAGTTGCTCATTATGTTTATTGGACACACCAATAAAAACTTGGGTGTTTTAAAAATGAGGTGCGAGCTGTCCTCGAAACGCTAGTCGACTTTCTTATCTGAGTGTATAATACAAGCGCTGTCACTTGATACCTACACGGCTGGAAGCACTGGCGTAGCTGGTACACACGGCAATACCTACATGGCTCTCTTAGGCAGGCTTTTACCGCTATCCCTACAAATTTGACAGATTTTTGACAGATTAGATTATTCCTATTGGCTATTTTGTTTGCTGCGACACACGCTCAGTGTTTTCATAATCAAAGCAATATAAAAGCGTCACGCTTTTGAAATGTAGAGCAGCCGAACCTGTTTTAGGGTGAGTCGAGCGTCCATCCTGGCCAGTTTGATGACGGCCACCAGCGGAATCATGGCGACTGACGTCAGTGAGATGAGCCAGCCCACGCCGGTGGCCCACAGCGGAAACTCGTAGTCGCCGTACTGGATCGGCTTGTGGTCTATCCACGAAAACAATAACAGCGCCTGTAACCAGAGAAGAGGCACATACGAATAAGTCAATCGACACGATCCTTGACTGATGTCACTTGTCAGCGCATCCTACGGTAAACCGTTTTGCGCCGCTCCCATCTCCGCTGCAGTAGCCAACGCACGACAAACGGGCATTGCGGGTTGCCTACCAATCAAGGCGCTTACCGAGTGATAATGTTCGCGGGATAGGTATACGGCGAGACGAGCTCTTGATGCTGTAAACGGGACAGATACTTTTGTTATTGATAACTATTGATATCAGCGCTTGAGTAGTTGAATGAATAAAGTTGAAATAATTATTCTGGAAGTCGCGAACCGTCAAGAAGCTACGCAACTGAAATAAGCATCTGCCTTTGTGCGTGTGCAGCTGAGCGCTTACTGTGACGATGGTGGGCGAGACGACCTTCCAGGCCCACTTCCACCAGCTGTAGTGGAACGGGTAGTGGCCGATCATGGTGCGGATGTTGTCCAGCAGACGGTCCGCGCCGTAGATGTGCGCCACCACCAGCACCTCCGTCATGCCCACGATCAGAGCAGAAAACGTGCCGGCGTAGTTGTCCATCAGCTGGGACAATAGGCATTAGGCACGGAGAGGCCACGCGGTGAGAGGTCTTAAGTTGCACAAGATATGGACTACAAACAATATCACGAATTGTTATCGCGTGAAATTTAGAAGTAAAATTGCATGTACATCTGTTAGTTACACAATATGCCATGAAATTAACCAATGTAATTCAGACCGTGCTCTTCAACATCTGCCTACCATCCAGGGTAAAGTAATTGCGTGATCTGCATTGAAAAAATTACCGCCAGCGTGAGCATATTTGCAGATATACGTAAAATAGCAGCCCTACATTAGCCGTTTTTACGACGGCTATCTGGTATACATTTGGTACACATCTGATTCTGGTACAGATTAGGTGCAGATTTGGTCAAATCAGGTTCAGTGTGTCTCTTAGCAGCTATCAGCTAGGGTTGCACTAATTGCTTATATTCTTGCTTTGTCATGTTATCAGAGAGCATCATCGATAAAAACACTGAAATAAATTCATAAAATGAAGATATTTGCTGTAAAAGAAATTAGGTGCAGATTTGGTCAGGGTGCATTCGCCGGATAGCCCGTCGTGAAAACGGCTATTGTCATCCTAGCTGGCTGGAACAAAACTCACCGTAAGAATGTATAGCCCGCCTCTGGTGCACATTGGAAGGCCGCAGCAGAACATGAACACGGAACATCCGAACAGTACCCATCTGCAGATCAAAGACCCATTATATCACTACAGCTGAAGTATGAAACTTTTTACGAATGATATAATAAAAGGGACAGTTATAGGCTACCGCCGGGTTTTCATCTTGACGTGCAAAAATATCCCTCGCCGGACCTATTGGTTTTCTACATACACGCCGGCCGAGGGGGGGGGGGGGCGGGTACGACCCCCCTCGCCGTTTCGCCCCTGGTGGAGCTAGCGCGTCGCGGAAAAAACGAGCGTATGCGCCGTTACGAGACGCAGAGATTGGTATCCGATTTTAAGGTCCTAGGTCAACCTGTGACCTCTGAGGTCAGGTCAAGTGCCCCAAGGTACGGTTCAGTTTTTGGTAAATAACTTCGCAAAAAACGGCCGCAGAGCGCCGATTTTGGCAGCATCGTGTTCGTCTCGCTCAGGCGCGTCGAATGATATACTTTTTGTCCGGGTCAGGTCAACTTGGGGTGTTGACCTCAGGTCAAGGTCAGGTCAGCACCCCCAGGTCACGAAGTTGGTCGAAAGAGGTCATGTTGCATATCATTCGATTCGGCAGGTCTTCCTGAGTCCATTGGTGGCTTTCCCGACTCGCTAGCTCAATTTGATCAAGAGTTATTGACGAAAAACTAATATGACCTTGATGACGTCATAAATGACGTCACGCAAGGTCAACATTGCAAAAGTGACGCATCTAATCTTGCAAGGAGTGCATCAAATCACGATTCTGTGTGCTTGAGATAGTTGGAGATCGTTCCCGGCGCCAGAATAGCAGTTTTCATTTTTCCCCATTGACTTCCCAGCCAGCAATTCGCTTGGGCTGACCTGTGGCAAACGTCGGGCAGCTTGGGCTTAGCTTGGGTTTGCCCACTTTGACTAAAACCAATGTATTTTTTACTAGGGCTGAGCTGGGGCATGCCGCAGCTATGTCCACGTGCGGATAGCAGTAGCTCAGCCCGACATCTACCCGCGCATCCAAAACAGGCTTAACTTGGGCGGAGCGCGGGCTGATCAAGCTGGCTGTGTCCTTCGGCTAACTGGAGTAAAGCCGGAGCTTAGCCATACTTGTTCGGCTGTTCGCGCATGCGCAGTTCTGCGCCAATCATGTGCAGCGTTTGTGACAGTCTGTGCGCTGTGCGACGAAACGACACACCGGTGTTGGGGCATTTGGTGGTTGATGTTTGGGCGCGTGTGACAGCGCGAAGAAGGGATAGTGCTCACTGCTCTTATCAAGTGGACTGGCATGGAGTCTTACGGTAGGTAAGTGTATTGAATGGTGCGCTTGATCGTATGTAAACGTCATGATTTTGACTGAGTTTCACACCATCAAACATGAAGCTGAATAGCTGTTCAGCCTGGCGACTTATACCCTCGCTCAGAAAAGCCGCATTCCGTGCCTTTATATCTTTGTGAAATACCAGCACTTCTGAACCAGGAAAATGAAATACAAAACACAAATATTTATCTACTTATCACCGAGCACCCTCATTCTCTGTCCGCGTTGAAAATCGAATGAACATTTTATACGGATCAATGAGAAGTGCTTAAAGGCGTAGGAACAGGGGGGGGGGGGGCAGGTGGGCAAGTGCCCACCCACTTTTCGAGGTGGGGGGGCCAACCATGTGTTTTGGCCCACCCACTTTTACTCGAGGCCCCTCGTCTCGATTTGAGAGGACGTCGTCACCTTCCAGAATAAACAAACTCGATAAAAATAAGTTCCACGAATCCCCACGCACGGACTCCAAGGGGCCGTGATGGATCCAAGGAGGCCCTCTGTTCATACTTATCCGTCGAAGCCCCTAAGACTGATGGCCTAAGAGGCCCTAGTGGATCTGAGGAGGCCCCAATATCCACACTGGTCTGGGAGGCCCCTCCATCCACACTAGTCAGAATAGGCCCCTGACACTGGCGGTCTAGCCGAGGCCCCTTACCCTCACTAGTCAGAGGAGGCCCATCTATCCTCAATAGTCAGAAGAGGCCACTGAGACTGATGGTCTGGGAGGCCTATCCATCTACACTGTAGTCAGAGGAGGCCCCTGAGACTGATGCCCTGAGAGGCCCTTATAATCACACCAGCCAGAAGAGGCCCATGATACTGATGGACTGAGAGGCCCTTCTATTCATACTGGCCACAGGAGACCCCCAAAACTTTCGGTCTGGGAGGTCCCTCAATCCGGCACCAGTCAGAAGAGTCCCCTGAGACTGATGCCCTGGGAAGCCCTTATATTCACACTAGGCAGAGGCGGCCCCTGAGACTGATAGTATGAGAGGCCCTCATATTCACACCAGTCAGAAGAGGCCCCCGAGGCTGATGGCTGTGAGGCCCTTCTGTTCATATAACTGGCCACTGGAGGCCCCTGAAACCGGTGGTCTGGGAGGGCCCTCTATCCACACTAGTCAGAAGAGGCCCCTGAGACCGATGGTCTGAGAGGCTCTTATATGCATACTGGCCACAAGAGGCCCCTGAGACTGATAGTCAGAGAGGTCCACTCGTAATGAATCTGAGGGGGCCCTCTATCCACATTTACACTTTTTTAGGGAGGCCCCCGGGACTGATGGTCTGATACTTGATAGGCCCTTTTATTTATACTGTCCACAGGGGCCCCCTGAGATTAATGGTCTGAGAGGCTCTTCTATTTATACTAACCAGAAGAGGCCCCTAGGATTGATGGTCTAACAGGCCCTTCTATTTATACTAGCCAGAGGAAGCCCATGAGACTGATGGTCTGAGAGGCCCTTCTATTCAAACTAGGCAGATGAGGCCGCTGAGAATGATAGTCCGAAGAGCCATGCGGCGGCAACTGGCCGTGGCCATATTTCGGCTCGGTAGGGCCCTACAGAGCTCATGAGAGCACCTCAAGGGCTCCTAAGTAGACACGCTTATCCCCATAAGGGTGCGACACCGGCTTCTGAAGGCTCCTTGTAGGCATCTAAGGGCCCTTTTCGGCCTCTAACGGCTCCACCCGCCTGTGATGGCTCCACACCAGTGGTTATGAGCGCCACACAGCGGCGCCTTTGAGGGTCATACTAGTGTCTTTTAGGGCCCTATATCGGTGGCTCTGGGGGCCCCACACCGGCGCCTCTGTGGGCCACCACACCTGTGCATCTCAAGGCTCTATATGTACATCTGAAGGACCCCCACCGACACCTCTGAGGGCCCCACACCAGTATCTTGGAGCTCTGAAGGCCCCACACCGGTGACTCTGAGGACTCACCGGTTCCTGAGAGCACCATGTTGATGTCTAACGGCTCCACAAGGCCACTGAAGGCACCATGCAAGCTCTCACTGAGCTCTAATGTCCATGTACCGGCCTCTGAGGGATTTAAGCCAGCGCATTCATAGCTCCACACCAGCAATTGTAAGGGCTTCACACTGAAGTATCTGAGGGTTCCACACCGGTGTCTCTAAGGGCCACATACTGGCATCTCTGAGGGCCCCATACCGGCGTCTCCGAGGGTCCACATCTGGCGGGCACCCATCAGCGACTGAAGGTCCCACACTGTCGACTCCGAGAGCCCCATCTGCGTCTGGGAGCACCATGCCGTCTCTAAGAACCACAGCGGCTCCTCCGTACGAAAGATGGGCGTCTGCATGCCAAAGGGGAGCGGTTCTGAGACAGTAGGGCACCTACGTGCAATAGAGGGGCGCCTATGAAGCCCATAGGGGCGCCTCAATGCGAAAGAGGGGCGCCTCTGAGGCCTACATATATGGGCGTCCACATGCAATAGAGGTCTGCAAATTGCAATTGATCAATGCCATGGGGGTGCATTCATAAGAAACAGGGGCGCCGGCATGGCAAAAGAGCATGGCCTTCAAGTGTCCATAAGAGAGAGACGCCTATGATAAGCGAACATTGTATGCGACAACGGGGCGACTGTGGGACATATAGGGATGTCTCTGACGACTATAGGCACATAGGGCGCTTATATGCCAAAGACGGCGCCTATGAAGCTAATGGAGGCACCTGGGAAACGAGGAAGACATTTGTGTAAGGGTTTTCAGGGGTCATGCGCCGTTTGCGGCAAATAGATTCTAAAAAAAATCGGAGTGGGAAGAAGTTTTAAAAATGGTGCGGACTTTCCGCACTGTTCGCTTTAGCGGTTACGCCCCTGGGTACATCTGCCCGATCTCAGAAGCTAGATTTGGAGGTCATACTTGAAAGCAGCCAGCAGGATGAGGCAAAAGTTGGAGGCCCCTGAAAATAGGAGGCCCCCTGGAAAAGGAGGCCCCTTGACAGGGTGGTCTACCCACTTTTCATGACGTTCCTACGCCCACGAGTGCTTTTACAGTATTAATGCAACAATAAGTTATTTTTCAAGCAAACATGCAATGTAAATTAAACCAATTAATCTCTTTTCAGGTACTTACCATTAGAGCAAATGGTTCCAAAAAAAATGAATAGTTATACAAACCAGGACCGGGTGGACGCCGCAGTCGCCCTCGCCAAGTGGTTTAGCGGAAACTGCCTGCTTATAATTAAGTAGGTATACCTACATATATGGAAACTGCGCCGAAAGCTGGCCGACCATCTACTGCAGATGTGTGTGTGTCGAGGAGCTAAACGCCTCCAAAGCTCCCATTCACCAGAATGAAGTTCTTTATAAACGATTGTTTGCTAATTGCTTTATGTCTTATGAGCGATTACAATTACTTTATGCTTTCGGTTGGGTGTTCAACTAAGTAACACCCAACCGAATTATGAAAGGGTTATTAAGTTATTATGAACGGGGAGGGAGGCTAGCGGGCCTTGTGATTGTTTTACAGTTTTGATGGTGCTTTTTCATGACTCATGCCATATTATTGCTGCAGTTTGCAGTCCACTGTTTCATGTATTTTTGTTTCATTTGACGTGTCTGTAGTCGTTTGAAATATACATTCAATCAAAGTCAACCACTACTTTCCTTTCGCAATGCTCGATGACCGGTTAACAGAGCATATGAGTGACCGTAACAATTTTGAATATGCATTGTAACCGCACAACCTGCTGAAAGTGCATTGGCTGCTCCTTGCTACTTGATCCAGTGTGAAGCAAAAGCAAGATAAAGTCAAGTCGAGACTTGAGAAAACAGGAGCCGTCACTCGAGCCGAACCCGAGCAAAGCCACAGTAGTTTGCAATGTATAAACCCCATTCACTTCTATGGCTTATGTCGGGATAGACAGGGCACACAGAGTGGGCTTGCATGAGTTCAGCCCGCTCGGGCCCAGAGTAACATCCATTATATAAATGGATTCACTGCTCGGGCTTAAATCGGGCTAGCGCCAAGCGTCGCTCAACTAGGGCTAAACTACGGCTGTCCGGAGCTCGCAGAGCGGGCATACCTCCGGCAGAGCATGGGCTTTAGTCGGCGTTTTTGTGTCATACGCCGACTTTAGCCCAAGCCCTAGCCGACTTTAGCCCGACTTAAAATATCGGGCAATCCGCACTTGAGCCTGCTTGGGCCCGGAGCAAAATTGCTGGCTGGGTTATAATGGTGAGGTCACGAAAATGACCTGACCTCATATGACCTTTAGGAAAAATCCGAGATATACAAGTTGTGGGACTCATAATGGATACTAGATCCTGCAAGTTTCATTTCCCTGTGACATCTCCTCTGGCAGTGAGGGTGTTGCGAAGTTGCGACATCTGAAGACCGTGCAGAGGTTCACTTATGACGTCATAGGTCAGTGACCTGACCTGACCCAAAAATGCGGTTGGTGTCAAAAGATGCGGCTTGGATCAAAGGTCAGGTATGCCAAGTTTCAGCTCTCTATCGCCAGCGTGTTCGGAGCTATCGCGAAAAAACCCTATGGGGGGGGGGGCGGCACCCGCCCCCCCCCCCTCGGCCGGCGAGGGATATATTTTAGAGTAAGAAAAACTGGCGTTGGCTCATGGGTTCCATTCGCCCCACACCATTCCTTAGATAAACGTTGGTGCAACGATTTCAAATGCACCTTCAACGTTCAAAGGCGACAAGAGTCTATCTTAACGACCTCGTTAAGATAGACGTCGAGAGTTGGACGTCACGACGTCCAACTCTCTCAGCATGATACTCCAGCAAACACCCGTCTATCTAGACCTGTCAGAAAGGCAACCTCAGTTTATGCGTCCTACCAACATCTAGAACCACTATCATATTCAACCATCCCTTTCCTTCAGCCCGTGCTCACGTGTGCCGTTTCCTGAGCTGGTCCGGGGCGAGATCGATCACGGTGCTGACCACAGTCTCGAGCAGTGTGAACTGGGTGCCCAGTCCCAGTGTCAGCAGCATCGAGAAGAAGAGAACCGACCAGAGCGGGGACACGGGCAGCCGAGACACCGCCTCCGGGTAGGCTATGAACGCCAGGCCGGGCCCTGCGGGAGCAGACCGGTATTCGCGGCGGTGGACAGTCCTGATTACTCGTGACACGGTCTTCGCGTAGGCTGTGCGATTTTCCCTCATACTAAAGTGTGATGGTGTTATGTTGAAAATGTTGGTACTGATTAAACATCACAGAGATTTATGTATCCTTATTACAAAGAATGGGCAGATATTCGAGTTCCATGTCTATTGTCTAGTATCGCGATTTAGAGTTTAGTCTAAATAGTTCACGTTTTTTCACTACATTGTTACAGATACTGACCCAAGGGACTTACATATCTTACAGTATCTCAAAGGGACTTATAGTATCTCAAATAATTCAGTCAAGATTACATTAAGACCCATTCGAGATGTTTTGTAGACGGTTTATGTGCAATGTATAAACTAAGCCTACAGTTTACATTTCATGTGAAGTAATGTAATGTGGGGCTGGCTGCTAGGCGTGACCAAACAGTTTGCTCAACTGCAATGTGCTCTTGACGTTTCTTGCTATACGTCTGAGGAACGGTGCCCCAAACGACGGGCGGAGTGCGCCACCGCTGGGCTGCCACCACAACTACCACAATTAGAGAAGCAGGCAACTCGTCACACATGACACGGGTCCAGAACACCAACACAGGCTTGTTCTGTCGTAAACAGAGCATCTGCATTCGCAATGTTCTCTGAACTGATGTTCATGCCTGACGCTTGTGGTATTCACGTTTGCCTAATTGTAAACAGTCCAATCGGATCATCGAATTTCCTGCATGCACGTAAAAAAACTGACCGACATCGCTCAAGTCCTGTAAGCATTGGCTAATGCCTAGTGCGTTTGTCGTATGTCTGTTGATATGTTGTAAGCAACCAATAAATCAGTATAGGAACAGGATTGAAGTGGATATCATCTACTATTATAAATCTTAAAAAGTCCGCCGCCGTCGGGGTTACGCTGACGGCGTGACGCCCAAAAACGGCTATTGCGGCGCCGTCGATTGACGCAGGATGATGAAATTTTTACCACTCGTGGGTCACGTAATTCATCAGGTCGTATTAAATTTTGGGCACGATTCGGCCGGGGGTGCGCCCGTGGCGCGTGCTCACGTGGTGTGCCATAGGGTTAACACTAGAATCGGCAACAGACTATTGCTCGGGAACGGTAAGGGCTACGGGGGTGAAATTTTCGCTGCAAGTCGGACGCGTGCACTCATTTGTCGTATTAAATTTTCGAGGGGGTGGGTTCAGCGGTGTGCACGTGGTGGGGCCGCGACCGGCGCCGAGCAGAAGGCACGTGCTTTAGGTTCAGTTGTTCGCTTAAAGGTAGACTGCCACCTTTTTTTCACAAAACGGTTTTCACTAGAGCTGAGCCACCTATGTCCCAGACTGAAGTCGGTTTTCCGAAATTCGAACCCGTTTGCGAGAAATCGGAGACCAAAGTTCAGTTTGATGCCATTTTTTTAGTCCAAGAAAACCGACATCTCTACTGTTTATCGATAACTTTGAAACATGAATTTTCTTATCTTTTGGCAAATATATGTCAAAACTTTGATTGTTTCGAGATCAGAGAAGAATTTTGGAGTGTCAAAATAAAAGTTAAACTTATATATTCAGTAGTTCATTTTTTCAAAAAAGTGTGGGAAATGGGGTTTAACATGGGCCAGACCCATTCCAAATAAAGCCATGATTTTTAAATGTTTTACGAAGTTAAATGCAAAATAAATTAAACATGGCCAATTTCTTATGAAATCATATATTAGTAAATCATAAAATACTTTACTTTTTCAAATAAAATGTAATAATCTTATGACCTTGAAGTCTAGTGATGTGTAAACATTGTCGCTAGACATTAACCGATTGATAATTGTATGATAATCGATAATTTTTTCGCGATTCACGTGATGATACTTTGTCAGGTGAATTCTAAAATTTTGTTTTGTCCAGGGAATAAATCATAGGCCGATCTGAGAAAACTTTTTGAAGGTGGCAGTCTTCCTTTAAAAAAAACTGAGTGGAAAGCAACAGAGCCGGCAGGTCATTGACCTTTGACAACGAAGGCCGACACAAGGCACCGCTCGCCAAGAGGATTCGCCAGTAAATACAATTAATTTGTTTTTGCAATATCTCAGCCGTTTCTCGGCCGATTTAACCGAAACTTGGACTGTCGGTGGTAGTGTAGGGTAGTGTAGTGTAGGGTAGGGTAGGGTAGGGTAAGGTAGGGTAGGGTAGGGTAGGGTAGGGTAGGGTAGGGTAGGGTAGGGTAGGGTAGGGTAGGGTAGGGTACGGTACGGTAGGGTATGGTAGTGTAGGGTAGGGGATTGTAGGGTAGGGTAGGGTAGGGTAGGGTAGGGTAGGGGATTGTAGGGTAGGGTAGGGTAGGGTAGGGTAGGGTAGGGTAGGGTAGGGGATTGTAGGGTAGGGTAGGGTAGGGTAGGGCAGGGTAGGGAGGGTAGTGTAGGAGTAGGGTAGGGTAGAGTAGGGTAGGGGTAGGGTAGGGGTAGGGGTAGGGTAGTGTAAGGGTAGGGTAGGGTAGGGTAGGGTAGGGTAGGGGTAGGGGTAGGGTAAGGTAGGGTAGGGTAGGGTAGTGTAAGGGTAGGGTGGGGTAGTGTAAGGGTAGGGTATGGTAGGGTAGGGTAGGGTAGGGTAGGGTAGGGTAGGGGTAGGGTAGGGGTAGGGTAGGGGTAGGGTAGGGTAGGGTAGGGTAGGGTTGAATTGAGTAACATCCTAACTTACAAAGGGCTCGAACAACTCGCATGCATCACCATCATACTCTACAGTTCAATTAAAAGCAGTTACCCAGTTCTTCACAAATAATACCAATAAAAATGCAAGTTTTTACACCCAAACTAATGCATCCATTAATCATACATATCAAAACATACAGTTATCGCGTAAACCTGTACCTCTAGTCTACTATTATAAATCTTAAAAAGTCCGCCGCCGCCCACGCCGCCGCCGTCGGGGTTACTCCCAAAAACGCTTATTGCGGCGCTGTCGATGGACGCAGGAGGGTGAAATTTTTGCCACTCGTGGGTCACGTAATAAAACAGGTCGTATTAAATTTTGGGCACGATGCGGCCGGAGGTGCGCCCGTGGCGCGTGCTCATGTGCGCCATAGGGTTAGCATTAGAATCGACAAAAACAGGCCATTGCTCGGGAACGGTAAGGGCTACAGGGGTGAAATTTTCACACCAAGTCGAGCGCGTGCACTCATTTGTCGTATTAAATTTTCGACGGTGTGGGTTCGGCGGTGTGCACGTGATGGGGCCGCGACCGGCGCCGAGCAGAGGGCACGTGCTTTAGGCTCAGTTGTTCGCTTAGAAAACTGAGTGAAAAGCATCAGAGCCAACGAAGGCCGACACAAGGCACCGCTCGCCAAGGGGATTCGCCAGTAAATACAATTAATTTGTTTTTGCAATATCTCAGCCGTTTCTGGGCCGATTTAGCTGAAACTTGGACTGTCGGTGGTAGTGTAGTGTAGGGTAGGGTAGGGTAGGGTAGGGTAGGGTAGGGTAGGGTAGGGTTAGGTAGGGGATTGTAGGGTAGGGTTGGGTAGGGGGTTGTAGGGTAGGGTAGGGTAGGGTAGGGGATTGTAGGGGATTGTAGGGTAGGTTAGGGTAGGGTAGGGTAGGGTAGGGTAGAGTTAGGTAGGGTAGGGTAGGGTAGGGTAGGGTAGTGTAAGGGTAGGGTAGGGTAGGGTAGGGTAGGGTAGTGTAAGGGTGGGGTATGGTAGGGTAGGGTAGGGTAGGGTAGGGTAGGGTAGGGTAGGGTAGGGTAGGGTAGGGTAGGGTAGGGTAGGGTAGGGTAGGGTAGGGTAGGGTAGGGTAGGGTAGTGTAAGGGTAGGGTAGGGTATGGTAGGGTAGGGTAGGTTAGTGTAGGAGTAGGGTAGGGTAGGGTAGGGGTAGGGTAGGGTAGGGTAGGGTAGGGTAGGGTAGTATAAGGGTAGGGTAGGGTAGGGTAGGGTAGTGTAAAGGGAGGGTAGGGTAGGGTAGGGTAGGGTAGGGTAGGGTAGGGTAGGAGTAGGGTAGGGTAGGGTAAGGGTAGGGTAAGGTAGGGTGGGGTAGGGTAGGGTAGGGTAGGGTAGGAGTAGGGTAGGGTAGGGTAGGTAGGGTAGGGTAGGGTAGTGGTAAGGTAGGGTAGGGTAGGGTAGGGTAGTGTAGTGTAGGGGTAGGGTAGGGTAGGGTATGGTAGGGTAGGGTAGGGTAGGGTAGGGTATGGTAGGGTATGGTAGGGTAGAGTAGTTTAGTGTAGGGGTAGGGTAGGGTAGGGTAGGGTATGGTAGGGTAGGGTAGGGTAGGGTATGGTAGGGTAGGGTAGGGTAGGGTAGTGTAGTGTAGGGGTAGGGTAGGGTAGGGTAGGGTAGGGTAGGGTAGGGTTGCGTTCAGTAACATCTTAACTTACAAAGGGCTCGAAGAACTCGCATGCATCACCATCATACTTTACAGTTCAATTAAAAGCAGTTACCCACTTCTACAAAAATCATACCAATAAAAATGCAAGTTTCTACACCCAAACTAATGCATCCGTTAATCATACATATCAAAACATACAGTTATCGCGTAAACCTGTACCTCTAGTCTACTATTATAAATCTTAAAAAGTCCGCCCACGCCGCCCACGCCGCCGTCGGGGTTACGCAGCCGGCGTTACTCCCAAAAACGCCTATTGCGGCGCCGTCGATTGACGCAGGAGGGTGAAATTTTTACCACTCGTGGGTCACGTAATTCAACAGGTCGTATTAAATTTTGGGCACGATGTGGCCGGGGGTGCGCCCGTGGCGCGTGCTCATGTGCGCCATGGGGTTAGCATTAGAATCGCGACCGGCGCCGAGCAGAGGGCACGTGCTTTAGGCTCAGTTGTTCGCTTAAAAAAACTGAGTGGAAACAATCACAGCCGGCAGGTCATTGACCTTTGACAACAAAGGCCGACACAAGGCACCGCTCGCCAAGGGGATTCGCCAGTAAATACAATTAATTCGTGTTTGCAATATCTCGGCCGTTTCTGGGCCGATTTAGCTGAAACTTGGACTGTCGGTGGAAGTGTAGGGTAGGGTAGGGTAGGGTAGGGTAGGGTAGGGTAGGGTGAGGTAGGGTAGGGTAGGGTAGGGGTAGGGGTAGGATAGGGTAGGGTAGTGTAGGGGTAGGGTAGGGTAGGGGTAGGGTAGGGTAGGGTAGGGTAGGGTAGTGAAGGGGTAGGGTAGGGTAGGGTAGGGTGGGATAGGGTAGGGTAGGGGTAGGGTAGGGAAGGGCAGTGTAGGGGTAGGGTTAGGGTAGGGTAAGGTAGGGTAGGGTATGGTAGTGTAGGGTAGGGTAGGGTAGGGTAGGGTAGGGTAGGGTAGGGTAGGGGTAGGATAGGGTAGGGTAGTGTGGTAGGGTAGGGTAGGGTAGTGTAGGGGTAGGGTAGGGTAGTGTAGGGGTAGGGTAGGGTAGGGCTAGGTATGGTAGGGGTAGGGTAGGGTAGGATAGGGGTAGGGTAGGGTAGGGTAGTGTAGGGGTAGGGTAGGGTAGAGTAGGGTAGGGTAGGGTAGGGTAGGGTTGGGTAGTGTAAGGGTAGGGTAGGGTAGGGTAGGGGTAGGGGTAGGGTAGGTTAGTGTAGGAGTAGGGTAGGGTAGGGTAGGGTAGGGTAGGGTAGTGTAGGAGTAGGGTAGGGTAGGGTAGGGTAGGGTAGGGTAGTGTAGGAGTAGGGTAGGGTAGGGTAGGGTAGGGTAGAGTAGGGTAGGGTAGTGTAGGGGTAGGGTAGGGTAGGGTAGGGTTGCATTGAGTAACCTCCTAAACAAAGGGCTCGAACAAATCGCATGCATCACCATCATACTTTACAGTCCAATTAAAAGCAGTTACCAAGTTCTACACAAATAATACCAATAAAAATGCAACTTTCTTCACCCAAACTAATGCATCCGTTAATCATACATATCAAAACATACAGTTATCGCGTGAACCTGTACCTCTAGTCTACTATTATAAATCCTAAAAAGTCCGCCGCCGTCGGGGTTACTCCCAAAATGGCTTATTACGGCGCCGTCGATTGACGCAGGAGGGTGAAATTTTTGCCAATCGTGGGTCGCGTCATTCAACATGTCGTATTAAATTTTGGGCAAGATGCGGCCGGGGGTGCGTCCGTGGCGCGTGCTGACGTGGTGTGCCATAGGGTTTACACTAGCATCGGCAACAGGCTATTGCTCGGGAACGGTAAGGGCTACGGGGGTGAAATTTTCACGCCAAGTCGGTCGCGTGCACTCATTTGTAGTATTAAATTTTCGAGGGTGTGGGTTCAGCGGTGTGACGTGATGGGGCCGCGACCGGCGCCGAGCAGAAGGCACGTGCTTTAGGCTCAGTTGTTCGCTTGCAAAACTGAGTGAAAAGAGTCAGAGCCGGGAGGTCATTGACCTTTGACAACGAAGCCCGACACAAGGCACCGCTCGCCAAGGGGATTCGCCAGTAAATACTATCAATTTGTTTTTGCAATATCTCACCCGTTTCTGGGCCTATTTAGCTGAAACTTGGACTGTCGGTGGTAGTGTAGTGTAGGGTAGGGTAGGGTAGTGTAGGCCGTAGGGTAGGGGTAGGGGTAGGGTAGGGTAGGGTAGGTTAGGGTAGGGTAGGGTAGGATAGGGTAGGGTAGGGTAGGATAGGGTAGGGTAGGGTAGGATAGGGTAGGGTAGGGTAGGGTAGTAGGGTAGGGTAGGGTAGGGTAGGGACTAGGGTACGGTATAGTATGGTAGGTTAGGGTAGTAGGGTAGGGTATGGTAGGGTAGGGTAGGGTAGGGTAGGGTAGTAGGGTAGGGTAGGGTAGGGTAGGGTAGGGTAGGGTAGAGTAGGGTGGGTTAGTAGGTAGGGTAGGGTAGGGTAGGGTAGGGTAGGGTAGAGTAGGGTAGTGTAAGGGTAGGGTAGGGTAGGGTAGGGTAGGGGTAGGGTAGGGTAGGGTAGTGTAGGGGTAGGGTAGGGTAGGGTAGGGTAGGGTAGGGTAGGGTAGGGTAGGGTAGGGTAGGGTAGGGAAGGGTAGTGTAAGGGTAGGGTAGGGTAGTGTAAGTATAGGGTAGGGTAGGGTATGGTAGGGTAAGGTAGGGTAGAGTAGGGTAGGGTAGGGTAGGGTAGGGTAGTGTAGGGGTAGGGTAGGGTAGGGTAGGGTAGGGTAGGGTAGGGTAGGGTAGGGTAGGGGATTGTAGGGTAGGGTAGGGTAGGGTAGGGGATTGTAGGGTAGGGTAGGGGATTGTAGGGTAGGGTAGGGTAGGGTAGGGGTAGGGTAGGGTAGAGTAGGGTAGGGTATGGTAGGGGTAGGGTAGGGTAGGGTAGGGTAGGGTAGTGTAGGGTAGGGTAGGGTAGGGTAGGGTAGGGTAGGGTAGGGTACGGTAGGGTTGAATTGAGTAACATCCTAACTTACAAAGGGCTCGAACGACTCGCATGCATTACCATCATACTTTACAGTTCAATTAAAAGCAGTTACCCAGTTATACACAAATAATACCATTAAACGCAAGTTTCTACACCCAAAACTAATGCATCCGTCAATCATACATATCAAAACATATAGTTATCGCGTAAACCTGTACCTCTAGTAATTACAAAAAAATGAATTAGGTAAATGATGCAAGGCAAACGTATTGTATCCACCGATCTTTGGAACATTTGGTCACATACAAATATGCCGATGTGTTTCCACTTTCTTTTTGAGTTTAGACCGCTGAAGAGTGGAAAGTGGAAATGGACTCGTTCGCTCACCTTGGGCCACGACCTCGTCCACCTCGACACCGAGCTCGTGTGCCATGAAGCCCACGATGCCGAAGATCACGAACCCGGCGAAGAAGCTTGTCAAGCAGTTGCCGCACGATATGATGATGGCGTCCCTATACGTATAGGAAAACGGTTGTACATACAAAGGTACTTATTTGGGTTCAAGGAAATGATCTCGGTGCGCTATTTTCGCATAGCGAACATCAAACAGATTATGATGAAATAATCCTTTCAACCAGTTATCACTCCGTGCACGCAACTACATTTATATCTAGCTTTTATTAAGATCACATTTCTTCTAAAAAACATGGTTTGTTAAAGATATCGAACATTTAATTAGTGTCGGCGTTTCCTTACTTGAAGTGGTTGTTGTGGAATTTGTTGTACGACGCCAGTGTAATCAGACCACCCCAACACGGTGAGAGCGAAAAGAAAATTTGTATCGCCGCGTCCGCCCAAACCTGTGATTCAGGAACAAGAACAAATTAGGATGCAGGTGCGAAAAATGCTTCAAACTGACAACAAAAGTTGCATTTAATTGAGCATTCCATAAGTCAACCTGTCCGTTTGTTTAGGCTGAATAAGTAAAGAGTAAGTCAACATATTAACAGTCATAAGTACTACGCATTTCTTCTCACCTTGGCGTGCGCCAATTTCTCCCAGCGCGGTGTGACATAAAATGAGATCCCTGCCATGTATCCCGGCAAAGTGGCGGCACGAACCAGCAGACACAGCAGAATCAGGTACGGAAACGTGGCAGTAAAGTACACAGCCTGAAAAGTGTCATGTCGAGTGTATGGCAAGTCACATGCGTACCATATATGGTAGGTGTGTATGCCTATTCACAGATAACAGTATTACAGAGGTGTAACAGAGGTGTTTTGTGACGTTGGTTTGAATTGTGACGTTTGGATGGTTCGTTGTGACAGGACTGGTGTCGATTAGCATGTAAATAAAGAGATCAAACTCCTATGTACCAGTACTTTTTGTGGATGAGAGTGGGAAATCATTATAATCAAATCAGTGGCATACGTTCCCTCACCACGGTGAGGAAAGTGTAACCAGCAACGTTTAGTAAAATAAGTTGCCATTATGCAAAAATGCAGCAATTGACACCAGCACCGCTAGATTGCTTCTTTATAAGTTTCATTCATATAAACCAATATTTTTTTTTTTTTTGTTGCCTGTGAGAGGAGATATCGAAGTCTGGGCACGAAATATTCGGTTCTGTTTTCGGCCTCTTACTGCAGCCACCGGAATCCTGTTTCCAATCCAGTACTACTGTTATCTGTGCCTATATATAAGCATATACACATCTACAAAAAAAAAAACGTTGCGTCTATAACCTGAGATAAAGGATGGAATTAATTGGGTGAAAAGCAACTATCCTTTTTTACAAGTCCCTGTAAAAACAGACGTTGCAAAATGACCAACTGACAAAACATGGGGTTCAAAGTGGTCGAACTAAAATATATAGTTACGATGTTCATCAGAGTTTAGAGAACGGAGTGCTCACTTTTCCAAAGCTCTTCACGCCCTTCAGGAGCGCCAGGAAGACGAGCGTCCAGGCGACCAGAAGGCACGCGACCAGCGGCCACTGGACGCTCCCAATATCATGGATGCCATCCGTGATGCCCAGCATAAAATTACTGGGAAAGGAAAAGGGGCAGCAATTATTACATATAGTGCACTGTAATCCACTGTCGATATATATGTATTTGTTCAGCATTTCAGCATGTGAACTGTGATTTAGCAAAAAAATGGCTGCGACCCAACTCTAATGAGCCCGTTGATGGATTTATAAAAGCCTCGGAACAGGGAAATGCAAAATTGTTTGAGCGATCCCAAGGCCTAGACCATTTTTAGACTGGAAGGCTGGGCCAAGTGGCCGTCCCCTCCAGCAGTATGTAAAAGAGCGGGCGGCAATGAATCCAAACCGGCCCTGCCTTGCGATCTCACTGGAAGAACTCGTCAGCGGGCATCCTCCGCTGGCTGGCGGTCGTGTTCAGCAGCTGCCACGTGGCGTCGTCCACGTGATGGGACAGCACACAGTCACCCGTGGCGTTCAGGAGGCCGCCGACAGACGTACAGTTCTTATCGTCAAACCGCCGACAGCCTGAAATACATCAGCTTCCTGAGCGATGATCGGTGAAAACGGTTTGAACGTTTTAGCAGCCAACTACCAGCTAACTAAAATATTTCTTGTATACGCCAAATACGTTTGTCATGTTAAATTTATTATGATGACGTCATGCGTCTCAGTGTGCGCCGTTGGCACATGAATAGAAGCGTGCGCCCCACGCCGATGAGAATAAACACTGGGGCAGGCCTGGCGCCAGCGTCTGCTATAACTGTCCCTTGAGTGGCCGCGTGGGGTCAACTTCTGGCTGCGCCGCGGCCACCCCGTCTGCCTAACGTTAGCATTATCAGTCGTGTAACCAGGCGCGGATACAAGGGGGGGGGCCATGGGGGCCATGGCCCCCCCCCCTTGGCCGATTTTTTTTTCAAAAATAAAATAAAAAGTTAAAAAGTTAAAAAGCTGAAAAGGGGGCCTCCTGAAAATAAAGTGGCCGAAATCCGATGAGTTTTTTTTTTACCTACCCACTTAGTTATTTCTTAGAAGACTAGCTGAGAAGACTTCTTTGTTAGAAGATTGGTAAAGCTTTTCATAACTTGGAGGTCTCTTATACTCACAGAGATGACCACTTTTACAGGGCCTCCTAACCTGCACAGAGGGCCTCCAAGCCTGCACAGATGTTGAGATGTTGCCTGAACAGCTAGATAAGCTCAATAGACGCAGTTTTTTTTTGGGGGGGGGGCAACAAGTGGGAAGATGGGGCCTCCAACAGGTGGGATTATAGGGGGGGGGGCCTCCTGGTTTCTAATGGCCCCTCCCTTGGAGATTTTCTGGATCCGCCCCTGCGTGTAACTACATACGGTGAGAGGCATGAGCTACCTACAGCCAGGGCTGCATACCTCCGGGCCAAACAAGCTGCAGCCCAGTCTCGTACCGAGCCTAATGACAGCCCCAGGCTGCAGCTTAGCAGGGTCATATCGCTGTGCAGACACAGCTCGCTGACATCAACTAAAATCTGAGACCTTACGAGCATAAACAGAAATAAATAAGTTGAAAAATATTGCTAGCCGGAAGACCGAGGTTCAGTATACTTTTCCGTCTCCATTGATTCAAATTCGAGTGACGTGTGTAATTAAACTATTCACGCGTTTTTAAATGTTTGCTCGGTATCAATGTTGGCCATAGCATTGTAGCCCTTCTGTATTATTCGATAGCTGAATAGCTGACCTTCTGTGTTCCACCAGTTGTCGCAGCTCGTCCATTGCAGACTGTCTGTGAAACTGGAGTAGAGGTAGAAGATGGTCCACGCCAAGATCAAATTGTAGTAGATACCGATGAACAATGAAATGAAAAACATTGCGTAGCCAATGCCTGCCGACAAAAGCAGAGATAAGTTATGTCGAAAGCAATACCAAGCGACTCATCATTGTCTCTCTTTTTTATGCTCTATGTTTATTATATTGTACACAGAGGTATAACCCAAGTCTATGATGCAATATATTATTTTATTCATTCTTTCTTTCAATGGGCCGCTTACGTACAATTGCAAGAGGGCTGCTGCTCCTCCAATAGCTTATATGTGATAGGCATAAGAACACAGTTTCAGTGTTTTATTTTTGAAATAATGCATATTATGTTTGATGTAGGTACAACAAAACTCTAAGGTGTATTTCCTTCACATTATGCATGTGATGAAAAGGGATAAGATTACCTCACCTTGAAAAAGCGGGCACACACTCCAGACGGCTATAGGGCCGCGGCTGGTGAACTGACCCAGCGTCAGCTCGAAAAAGAACAGCGGCACGCCCGTGCAGAACAGCATTATCACATACGGTATCAGGAACGCACCTGTGACAACGCGGAGCGTCAAATGGTAGGTAATAGGTATCACAGCGAATTATTACGCTCGGAGCGCTCGGAAGTGGCGCTGTATAGAATCTAGTGGGTACCAAAGGTTTATAAAAACTGAGCAGTCATGGGTCCAACGGTTTCCTTTATCCTGTTTTCATTTGATTTTCACACTTGTAACATATCATATGCACATTGACCAATGACACTATACTTGTTCTGAGACGTAAATCTTATACCTGAGGTAGTCTTGGAGCCTTCAGTAACTTTAATAATATCGGACCCCTCTCACAGTCGCCCGTTTCGCTGCGCTGCCCCTCGAGGGTCTGGGACTGACACGAGAGACGCGATGTAATTCGAGAGAACCGGTCAGCAGGCCACAACTCAGCGCCCTTTGTGCCTCAGACGGACTTCCGCCTCGCGCCATGAGACAGACATACACAACACCCCGGAATGAATTAGGGTTCAAAACCGAAGGGACGTAACCTGAGTCTGTAGCTGTTTATTGTCGACTTGAATTCCACCTGACCCTGAAGTATCGTTGCCTAGATACATACGAAAAATCAATGAAATTAAATGCTAACACGTCAAACTATTAAGATCAAGCGGGCACTGACTTACGAGTTACGAGGAGCACAAATACGCCTTGACTTGCTGTCTCACAATTTTTTCTTTTAATCCTACTATCGCAATCCTATATGCAGGGCTGATAGATTTAATACAAAAGTAAGCTAGCAACAGAAACACAATACACTGCGCGGTGTTTATGTGCTGGTCCGAAGATGCTCTCGGCTGCTTTCATTTCAGTAAGATGTGTATGTATGTACACAGTTCACCATGCAGTAGTGCTCTCACCGCCTCCGTTCTGGTAGCAGAGGTAGGGGAACCGCCAGATGTTTCCCAAACCGACCGCGTACGACAGACAGGACAGCAGGAACTCCAGCTGGGAGCCCCAGGTGCCGCGCCGGCTGGAGTCGGCCTGTTCCTCATCCCGAGGAGGCGCCTCCTCGGTGTCCGGGTGCCGTCGGATGGCCGAGGGGTCGGCGCTCGGCAGTTCCTGTGGTATATACGGTGGAACGGACAGGGACTTTCAGCAGGGACGGGTGCTCTATGCAGGGGCGTAGGTAGGGGGGGGGGGCCACTGGGCCATGCCCCCCTCCCTTGGGCGCCGAAGGCGCCCTCCAATCGCAAATGCAATTGTGATATAATCGAATCGAAAAACAATCGCGACTGGAGGGCGCCCTCCAATCGCGAATGTGTTTACAGGGAAAATACGGATGGAGGGCGCCCTCGGAGGACGCCCATTCCAAATACGCCCTCCAAATACGGTTGGAAGGCTCCCTCGGGCGCCCTCCAACCACATTTGTAGGCTGTAGCTCTCTAAGCGTAACGGTGGTCGCCTATGTAAGCCGCTGTCCTGTAAATAAGCGCCCTCTCACCCGAAGGCGCCCTCCTGTAGGTCGCCACCCTGCTACACATTGCCGCCCTTCTGCTGATCGGCGTCCTCATAATTATTGGCGCTCTCCTACCTATTGAGCCTTCATGTGAAATTTTGAAGGCCGCCTTTCTCCCTTTTGGCACCCTCTTGTTCAGTGCCGCCCTCCTACCTATTGGTTCCCTAGTCCTTCCTGTTGAATGTTAATCGGGGCCCTTCTCCTATTGGCGCCCTCGTGTAGATCGCCGCCCTCCTAACCACTGGCACCCTCCTGTTGATCACCGCCCTCCTATCCACTGGCACCTTCCTGTTGACCAGCGCCCTCCGCACAGACGCCCTCCTGTTCGTGTCATCCTCTTGAGCAAAGGCGCCCTCCTCACCATTGCCACCCCCATTTTAATCGTCACCCTTCCGCTCATTGGCGACTTCCAGTTGATGACCGCCCTCCCACCTATTGGCGACCTCTTGTTGATCGCCACCCTCCTATTGGTGCTCTCCTGTTCCTCGCCACCCTCTTACCTGGTGGCGCCCTCCTGTTGATTGTTGATCGGCGCCCTCCTACCTATTGGTGCCCTCCTGTTGATCGCTGCCCTTCTATCCATTGGCGCCCTCCTGCTGCTCGCCAACTTCCTACCTATCGGTGCCCTACTGTCGAAACTCGGGATGTTGATCGGGGCTCTTCTACCTATTAGTGCCCTCCTGTGGATCGCAGCCCTTCTACCTATTGGCAACATCCGTTGATCGCTGCCCTCCTATCATTTATTTACTCCTTTGGCATGTTTTTCAACTTAGTCGTTCTATTGCACATAGTTGATGTCTTGCCTGTGAAAACTGCCACAAATGAACGTGCATTCAGCACAATGAATGAAGTATCTATACCTACCAAAACTATCTACGCTCTACGATGCATAAAACACGTCTTTGGTCTTAACGGATTGATCCTACTTTACGTGCATCATGGCATCTATATGGATTACGATTAAGTATTGTCAACAGGTTCGGGCGCAACAGCAGGCATCTGAAGTTTCGGTGATTGAAACTGGTTATGTGGGTACACTGTATGCATCTGTGAGAAGGCTATGAAGGCTGGTCTGAGGTAATTTGGATGATGTTTACGCATCTCGCGCTCCGGTATCAATCCGATACGGTGATCTGGTGCGTAGATATGCCACCGCCAATAAACTTTTATACATCGACACCCATGAGCCAAGCTTTCTGTACAGTTTGTGTGGCAGCGGCCCGACCAAACCTTAGGTATTTTTTACACCTTCAAATTTGGTAAAAGAGCGAGAGGAGCTTTGAACAGTGATCGTATAAAAGGCGTGCCTAAAAAGCGGAGGAAAAGGTTGTTTTCAAAAATTTCGCGCGCCTTCGGCGCAGCATTTCAAGAACACTTGACCTTTTGTGACCTGGAGTATAAAGAATACACACGATGCAAAATCAATGCAGCACGACCTATACGAGGTTACGCAAAAAAAAAAACTGGTGGCATGGTAAAAAACGCCTCCCAACCCCCCAACCCCCACTGAACGATTTTTTATCTCGCGACCGTATGGCGCCCTCCTTGGGTGAGGTGGCGCCCTCCAAACCCTTGGCCCCCCCTTCGCGATTTTCTAAATACGCCGCTGGCTCTATGCGGAGTGCTGCCGATGATCGAGACGTGCTGGCCAGTGTCACTGATGGTAGTGCCTAGAGATTGGACTTGGTCTCAAACGTAACATGTAGGAGTACGTTTTCTTAATAAATTTGTCATGCATATCTTTGGTTTCAAAATTGAGAACGAATGCTCTAGGAATCTGTGATTAGCCGCATAGAATGGCGTGATTTTGGAGAGCTTTTAGATGGTTTGAAATGTATTGAAATGTGGTACTGAAAGCTTGGTTTGATGCTGTTGTGCTCATAAATTTTACAACATTACAAATGCTGAATCAAACGCAGCACGCGCTCATTATTGTTATCGGATGTGAATTTCCATAACATAGCAATGTCTGGCATCAGGCATGCTATAGAACGCTTTCCATCAACCTATCAGCTGCCGTGAAAAACATATAGCGCCTGAATATAGTTTGAACTTCCGATTAGATGCTTAGTTCGGTTGAATTCGGTAGATATGATTCGGTTAGACACTTATGTTTCAGAATACCTATCAAAAAATACATTTTCGTAGAAGGTGAAATGCAGTTAAAAAGCTAAAATAAAAGATCATAATTTTCAATCAATAATTGATTCACGATGTAATCAACAAGAATAAAAAAGCAACAACCTTTGCATAGTCTTCTAATTATTTTTGAGGAGTTTTTACATGCAATTCGATTTATTGCACCTATAGTTATAAGTGCAACACGGCACACGCTCTACCTATTGTTTTTGTTTCGCTCTGCTGCTGGACATCTCACCGTCTGGTCGCGTTGACCTGCGCTCCGCTCCGTCGCTATCACGGTCGCAGCGACCTCCATTGTGCTGTGGGGCGCGGTAGCTCGGCAGAACGGGCCAATGCGTGTGCGATCACCGCGCTACTGTGACAAACACTGATGGACGACCCATCCAGACCTCCAATGGGAGTGGGTGCGCACCGGGTTCATTTGTGTGACGTCACAGAGCCCGGGGGCCTGGCTGCCAGTGGGTGACGGACATATGTACGGTGACCGACGCGTCGTGCTGTGTGACCGTTGTCAGCCGCTGAGGACCCCTGCCCCAGCGCTGGGAGAAATTCCAGCTCCTGTCACAACCCGACACGGCCTGGAAAACGTCAGTGCGACACTGGACATTGACGAGCTACGGATAAAAACGGCCTATGGCGTCAAACAGCGTTTTTTACGAAACGGTGCCATTTTGTTTACCATCTTTACCAGTCGGTGACGGGGTGCCATTGGCATTAACAGCAGTGGAAGGAGAGGACTGTGTAATGTGTATTCCCCGAAAGTCCAGTTTGGCAGAATGGGTGGCAATGCTCGAGTTTTGCTATACACGGCTTTTGCTCAGCGGACGGTAGCACCCAGGGTCAGACAGTTTAGATGAGCTGGGGGCGTGTCCAAATAACATTCATCAGAATTACAGCCGGCAGCTGGAGTTCCAGACCTCCAAGCGTTAGCTGTAGGGTCTGGGGACCTGCTCAATAAAGATTATATGTGGCTATGACCATGAGCTGCGCTGAAGAAAGGGGTTGTTGACCTCATTCAACGCGAGACACATCCTAATCCCTAATTCATCCCACATTGTCCCTCTTTGGGGTATCGGCTTGACTTTCCTTGTAAGTGGGCTTAAGGCCTTGTTGGCGATCTCTTCGATTGAATACATAAATGAAATAAATGAAGAAGTATGCGACTGCTAGCTATTCCTAAACAACTAATGCCAAGATATTGTATAAAGTCGTGATTTTTAATCACTTATTTTAATTTAATTGTGCGTGATGTTAGTTATTTCCACATCATTCGAGCAGAGTTAGTTTGCTGTCCTCGGAAAAGGCCCACGAAAGTTATCCGTCGCCGTTGACGAGTTACCGGACACCAATACCAGGGCCGTGTTATGCTGCGCTGGCCCGTGCGGGCTGATGCCTGATACGACAGCCGGCCGGCCGGCACCCCTGAAAGGTATGCTGTGCCGCATGGTCGGCCGCCTCGGTACAGGCAAGGCGGTGGACGAGAACAATGGGAAGACGCTACAGAGAAACGTTATCTCCGAGTGACGTATGTCCTGAGAGCCGCAGCAATCGACAGCACTGATGTCAGAGCGTTGAGAGAGGGACTGTTTGACGTTTCGTTGACGGAACTGCAGTGGGAGGCGCTGTGAGTAGTGGCTTCAGCTCTTCGCTACTAAACTAACTATGTAGTGACTCGCGAGAGAATAGGAACAAAACTGAGACGTCCAGCCCTTGTTGCAGGCCGGCCGATGGGTATCAGCTCCACGTGGTCATTCATCTGCTGTTCACGAGCAATTAAAAAGGCACCCGGAAGTTTGGACTCCAGCCGTGCATAAGCTAAACAGTGTCCGATTTCAATTACGATTTTACCAGATCTAGTGGATGACTATCAATTAGGATTTAGGTGGTTTTCCACTTCCACACCCACACACCGACATGGTTTACATGATAACAACAATCAGAAATGCGGAAAACGAAGTTCCAATCAATTTTAGCGTTTTTATTCTTATAATAATATTACATACGTGATATATATCAATAAAATACTTGATAATTAACAACGCTATTGCAGCTGCAAGTTTTAGAATTCAGAGAACAGTTTTCTCTGGTAAAAAAAAAACATTTTTTAATGAAATATCAGCAGGCAATGGGCTAGGGTGGTTTTTATTTTCCCGTTTCAGTGATAGCAATACATTAGGTCGGTCGGTTGGTCGGTATGTATAGGTCGGTGTGTGCAATTTTCACAATGATACTTGATAAGCTACTTAACATAGAGAATAAATATGATATAATATAAAGAATAAAGCCAAAGACAGAAATGAAGTCGTATTCTTGTATGTGCGTGTTTGCATTGTTTCTTTTTACCAAAAGGCACTGATAAACTCAATGTGACGAAACGCGCCTACCCAAATGTGCTGTGTTGCCCATCTCAATGCATACAAAATAAACTTTGGAAGGCTCAGTGCCAGTAGGCTGTGCAGGATAAAGCCCTTTTGCTCAAAAATCACTTAGCCATATGATTTAACGGGCTCCCATACGGCCATTCGGTCACGGACGCGCGGTATCGCGACCGTTTATGTGAGTGAACCGCTCACTGAGCACAGTGTGGGGGCTGTTCTTCCACCGGGTGCTACCCACCATGTATACTCTGACATGAAGTGACGGAGAGGATGCCAGGTGAAATCTGTCACCTCGGGAACTTTAACCCGCGCCCCACTGGGGGAGGGGGAGCGGCAGAATCTGCTCCCTCCCGTTTTTCGACAATAACTTCTAAACGCGTTTCGCCAGCGACGTCAAACTTTCAGTACCTTATCATACATCAATTTAAGACGTTGTGTGAAAATTTGAGCGAAATCCGTCGGATTTTTTTTTGGAGAAAATGACGTTTTAGAGACGTCATGTTCGTCGCCATTTTCGCCTAAAAAACGGCAAAATTTCAAACGCCGCTAACATCTTCATTTTTAAAGGAATCAAGACGTAACAAAAAGGTTACACGTGATTTTACTTTGCCTATCAAATGGCAATCTCGGTTTTTTGAAAATTTTGAATTTTGGCCCAACTTTTTTTTTCTAAAAAAACTGACTTTTTTGGGAAAATAATTATTAAATCTAAAATTTTGAGTGTATCGAAAAAACCGGAATATATGTCAGAGAAGTGGTCTGTGTGCACATATATGCCAATTTTAAGAAGAATCGGTTCAAAATGTGGGAATTATTTGAAATTTTATGACGTCACAACACACAACATTTTTGAAAAATGATTTTTTGGACGTTCTAGACCTCGTACGGAAACAAAAATAGAACCATTCGATTCGTCATGAAAAACTGCATCAGATAGACACCTTTTTAGGCCTTCAAAACCAACTTCAAAATTTGACCTCACTTGACCTGACCTTGACCTGACCTCGACCTGAAATTCATCCAAGTTGGTTCATATCACTTATGGAGTGTGCCTATTGAATTCTATGAATAAAATGACCTTTAAAACATGAAGAGCTTTCGATTGCCGTTTTCCCCGTCTTTCTACGACCATCGGTTCGGAAGTTAGACAGGGGGCAGAATCTGCCCCCCCCCCCCCAGCAGGGCGCGTATGGCTGAATAGCCCAGCGGGGCGCGGGTTAACGGGCTCACCGCCAACGACGCAGCCAGTTTTTGCGTCTGTCTTATCCCATTCGCGGCCGATTGTGTCACGGTCTATGTAAAAAAGTGTTGTCATAAGCCGTGGACGAGCATCTTCAATACCTACCTATGTCAGAAATGCAGTTCATCTGTAAGTGCAACGCTGCAATCTGCGTGCCAACGAAAAATAGCGTTTAAATCTTGGTAAAATACTTAATTAGGCCGATGGGTGACATTATAGCTCATGGGCATGCTTTAGACATCAATCGGACCAACTGCGTCGCTGTCAGTCTGCCAAGATGTGTGGCTTTATGGCGGTTTTCTCCGGCGCTAGCCGGCTGACTAGACCTGACAGCCCTTGTCAGTTGTGACAGCCGATATCCCTGGCGCTGTCACCGTCCGAATGGTCACATGGCCGGGGTATTCTTAGAACCGAGAAAAAGCATGTTCCTTCATTTTATTATTTATATTGTTTTTATATAGACTAACTGTCCCCATGATTCTTCGTTACCTTGCCCCTACATGTAGGTAATATTATCCATGTTAGTTTATGCTGACTCTCACATGTGGTCATCAACTTTTCGAGCTCCTTTGACACACGCAGCTTCCTTGTAGGTGTGTGTTATGACAATGGGAAAGGACGAGGGATAAAAGCAACGAACCACCTGCAGTCAGCACTTGGTTTGGTGAAGAACCTGAGCTTATTGCGAACTGACAGCTCATACATTAACCCGCGACCAACTGGGCGGGGGAGGGGGGAGGGGTTCAGATCCGACCCCTTCCGTTTTTTCTGGAATAACTCACAAACCGCTTACGCTATTAACCCGCACCCCAATGGGGTCTGCGTATAACGCGCCCTCCGGGGGGGGGGCTCTTCTTGACCTTAGGTCACGTGACCTAAGGTCAACTTTTGACATTTCGACCTTTCGAGGTCAACATACATATGTTTCGATGCGGATCGACGAGAGGATCACGATGGTGCTATTAGTTTGTTCCTAGTTGTGATGAGAAAAACTTCATATATATATATGTGCCGCAATTTTGACTTCCTTTTTGCTCCTGTGACGTCATCTTTGACCTGACCTTAAATGGCCTCAGTAAAATTAAAGACCTTATCCGTGTGTACCCTGCACCGTTTACCGCTTGTCGCTATTTTGTTTTATTCTCGAGATCTCGCTGTCGCTCCCGCTCGTAATAATGGACAGGTCATAAAAATGACCTGACCTGAGGTCAACGCAGGGCGATAGCCACTTTTTTATTTTCGCATATGAATGACAATTGATAAGGCTTTAATCGTCATCAGACAAAATTGCAACTTTCAGTGGGGAAAATATCAAGGTCACTCTTAAAAATAGGTCAAAAGGTCACGTGATCAAAATTTTCAAAAATTGAAAATCCGAGATAGCCAAAATGTTGTGTTGATTGTGAGTTGAACCATATAAAGTTTTATCGTAGAAAACTAATAGTTTCTGAGTTATAGGCCGCCAAACATAGGGCTGCAGCGCGACCTCCAGGAATTGCCCGAGGCTATATCTCGGAAACCGTTGTTCGAAGAAAAAATTCTTGCCACAGCTGGCTTCCCCGCCCATCACATTACACCAGTTTTCAACGAAAAATAAAATATGAGGGTGCAAATTTAATTTTTTATTTGTCGATTTGTCGTGGAACGCCCCCTTAGTAAAAATTGTAGACCTTGCCCGTGCGTATCCGAACCGTTTACCGCTTGTCGCTATCTTGCTTCGGTCTCGAGATCTCAGGGGGGGGGCGGTCATCCGCC